AATTTCATTTAGTTCAGGTAAGTTGGCCTCTGGGGACATTCTTTAGCCAATTTGGAAGCGGGCAGCTGACATATTCCGTGCAACTGTCGCCATCGCTTGGCTTGATGCAAGTCCCGCTACATATTATATATTTGTGTGTGTTCCACACCCTCATCATAAAAAGTGTTTAGTGTAGGAAAGCTCATAAAGACGTATCTTTAACTCACAGCTTCTCCAGGTAACTTCCCTAATAATATCTCCCTCATAATAGCCATGTACAACGTAAATAGTGGGGATGCAGCTGTGAATCTACAGACAAAATAGTGATTTAGTGTAATACAGTTAAAAAACCTAGACTGTAATATTTTAAATGCGCCTCTGAGTACCTCCCTTAATATTCTTGGGGTTGTCCTGAGTTTTAACCCCAACACACAGAGTCTAGGTTATCATTAAATTGGACTGAAATAAATGTATTACCGGGCCTTAGAGTATATAAAAAAAAGAAGAAAACGTGGTCAAATACAAGCCTAGGCCAAGAAAACAGGGAGACAAAGCAAACAAGAAGTAGCCAAATCAATATCAATAGAATGTCAGAAAAGGGTTACAGAGAACTCAGGGACAGGAACGAAGCCAAGGTCAATACCAGAGATGTCCAAATGAAACAAGGAACGCACTAAAGGTTACTGGTAACAGCAGCCATGATAGGGCACGATAAGAGGGGCCAGAGGAGTTTAAATATCATTATGTGCAATTTGATAAGTCCACATCATGTCTGCAACCCCAAAAACGTTTGTGAACGGGGACACCGAACGGTCGTAGACCAATCTGAGCTGGAAGTGATGTAATGCCCCCATTGCATTTTTAAGAACATGCTTTGAATGACAGCAGCGTTCTCCTCGCTAGAATTCGGGCCACGAGTATTGTTATTATGCTTGGCCCATTCAGAGGGAGAGTATCGCAAAAGGAGGCTGACCGATGTTACCTTCACCCAAAACCATCACTTCCACACCAGGAACAAGTGTGTCAGAACTCAGGATGGGTGTACGAAAATTAGATTTATTTGCAATGATAAAATAAAGTGCAACAGTAAAACGCCTTTGGTCTTGGTACTGGATATCCTCAAGGGCCAATAAAATAAAAAAAAAAGCAAAAAACAATAAAAGCAATTTGCTTTGAAATGCATATTAATAAACTGTTGTACTATGTATTTTGTATTATTAATAAGAATATCTATTAAGTTGATAAGAGAAAAAAGCAATACTAGGGGAGGTGGAAGGCATGAGAATCACGAGTAGGACGCAAAGGGCACCAACGTAAAAGGAAGTATAAAGTGGAATCCATATGTTGATCAATGGGCTACAAATGGATTTGCCGAACGAATGCGCAGGAACTGATGTACATTGCGCGACATGGGGAGGTTATACAATTCTGGCTACGTATAGGCACGCTGCAAACTGACAATTTGAATTGGAAGAAAAACGACCCAATGAGGGCCACACACAGGATCACATCCATGGAACAACCAATCATATCAAGGGATTAGCCCTATATAAAAGGAGGACTCGGGAGGGAGCAACTTTTCTGGGAATTCCTTTTTGTTATGTTTTTTTTTTACACTTTATTGGTCCCTGGGGAATTCCATTGACAGGATGAAACGCGTTGGAACATTGCAGTTTATTTCTAATTTATTTTATACTGTTGCCAAAAAAAAAAAAAAAATCTAATTTAGTCCTGACAACACACTTGTTCCTGACATGGATGTGTGTCAGTCTGGGGTGAAGGTGGCATCGGTTAGCCCACTACATATTTGTATTGTTTTTGTTAATTGTAATTTTATTGAGTTACTGTCTTCCTTACTTCTCTTCCAACAAATTAGTTTAGAGTTTGTCAATTATTGGGAAATTCAAAAATAGTTTCAAATTTAAGCCATAACAGATGAATTGGGGGGGGGGGAATAATTTTTTAATTTTAAAGTGCCATATTGGCCTAAAATGTGAAAGTGACTGAGTTGCTGGCTGTGCCCCCTTTGGTGAGTAGCCATGTGAGCTGCCTGGCAGGGGTGGTCTCTGCCTGTGGCTCAGTGGAATGGAGGGAAGTCATGTTCACAGTCCTGTAAGCCTGCCCCTTCTCCACACTTCCCCCTCCCCCAGGTGCCTCTGTAGCCCCCCAGACCCCTCACCCCTGGGCTCAGTGACTGTGAGAGGGCCACCATGAGCCCTGGCCAGAGGTCACAGGGAGCCCCCTGGCCGTCCACTCACCCCCACCCCCCCTTCCTTAACTCCCCTCTCTCATTTTCCCGGCCACTCCATTAAAGGGGAGGAGGGGCGCGGGGGCTGCCGGGAATTGTAGTCCCCAGCTTGAACTTGTGCCGTTCCCCCCAGCGGACCTGGAACTCCGAGTCCCGGCAGGCACCGCGGCCATGCGCATGCGCCCCGAGTGTCTGGAGCTGGTCTATTATGCTGCTTGGCTCCGGATAAAAAGAAGATCCAGTGGAGGGGCCGGACGGCCAGCGTTACGGGAGCTGCCTGGCGGGGGAGAAGTAATGCAGTTCCCATTGCTGTGTGTGTGTGTGCGCGCTGTGAGCGGCCCGGGATCCCCCCCTCTCCCTCCATGGTAGCGGCCGCTCCGGGCTTTGTGCGCGGATACAATGTAACAAAGCGAGCCGCAGCCAGCCGCCGCCAGCCGCAGCCTGGATACATTGTAACCGCGTCCTGCCGGCGGCTCCCACTGAGGGCCGGCTCCGGGGGGGGGAGGAGGGAGGGGAGCTGTGTGTGCGGGGGGGGGGCTCCCCGGCGCTCGCTCTGTCTCTGCCCGCGGGCTGCGCTCCCCCCCCCCAGCCCCGGGAGCGGGGCACAGGTTCCTGCCCGCCATCTTTTAAAGGGGGAGGAGGGGGGGAGGGCGGATCGCTGAGCCCGGAGAGCAACTAGTCCGCCTGGCTGTGAGAGGAACTGCGATCCCAGGCTCCGTGCTAGGCCTCGGGACACAGCCTCCCCCCCGGCCAGCACGGCGCAGGCAGTGATTATGGTGTCTGAGGGAACCTGTGTGGGCAGAGCCAAGATCTCAGGTGCTGTGTGTCCTCTCTGTCACTGTGTGTGTGTGTGTGTCCCCTCTCTGTCACTGTGTGTGTGTGTGTGTCCCCTCTCTGTCACTGTGTGTGTGTCCCTTCTCTGTCACTGTGTGTGTCCCTTCTCTGTCACTGTGTGTGTGTGTGTGTCCTCTCTGTCACTGTGTGTGTGTGTCCCTTCTCTGTCACTGTGTGTGTGTCCTCTCTGTCACTGTGTGTGTGTCCCTTCTCTGTCACTGTGTGTGTGTGTGTGTGTGTCCCTTCTCTGTCACTGTGTGTGTGTCCCTTCTCTGTCACTGTGTGTGTGTGTGTCCCCTCTCTGTCACTGTGTGTGTGTGTCCTCTCTGTCACTGTGTGTCCCTTCTCTGTCACTGTGTGTGTCCTTCTCTGTCACTGTGTGTGTGTCCCTTCTCTGTCACTGTGTGTGTGTGTGTGTGTGTGTCCCTTCTCTGTCACTGTGTGTGTGTGCCCTTCTCTGTCACTGTGTGTGTGTGTTCCTTCTCTGTCACTGTGTGTGTGTCACTGTGTGTGTGTCCCTTCTCTGTCACTGTGTGTGTGTGTGTGTATGTCCTTCTCTGTCACTGTGTGTGTGTGTCCTCTCTGTCACTGTGTGTGTGTGTGTGTCCCCTCTCTGTCACTGTGTGTGTGTGTGTGTCCCCTCTCTGTCACTGTGTGTGTGTCCCTTCTCTGTCACTGTGTGTGTCCCTTCTCTGTCACTGTGTGTGTGTGTGTGTCCCCTCTCTGTCACTGTGTGTGTGTGTCCCTTCTCTGTCACTGTGTGTGTGTTCCTTCTCTGTCACTGTGTGTGTGTGTGTCCCTTCTCTGTCACTGTGTGTGTGTTCCTTCTCTGTCACTGTGTGTGTGTGTCCCCTCTCTGTCACTGTGTGTGAGTCCTCTCTGTCACTCTCTGTGTGTGTGTGTGTGTTCCTTGTCTGTGTGTGTCCTTTCTCTGTCACTCTGTGTGTGTGTGTGTTCCTTGTCTGTGTGTGTGTTCCTTGTGTCACTCTGTGTGTGTTCCCTCTCAGTGACTGTGTATGTCCCCTCTCAGTGACTGTGTGTGTGTGTTCCTTGTGTCACTCTGTGTATGTCCCCTCTCAGTGACTGTGTGTGTGTTCCCTCTGTGACTGTGTGTTTGTGTTTACTCTGTGTGTGTTCCCTCTGTCACTCAGTGTGTGTGTCCCTTCTCGGTGCCTGTGTTCCCTGTGAGCACCCCCTGATTGAATAGGTTGCTACTGACAGGGAACACACAGACTGTGTTCCCAGTCAGCAGAAATCGTACACCCCATTCAAAGTAAGTTCCCGGTCAGTGGTGTGTTCCCTGACTGAGTGTTGAAGTTGTACAAACTTGCTACATCCTCAGGACAAGTGTTAAGTGGTGGAATTCTTGTAGTAAAGGATGTATTGTTGAACAGTTGAAATGTTAAAATCTATGCAGAAACTGCCTTAAATGCACTAATATAATTAATGCAAACTATTCTATATTGGTAACTTCTTGTTTTGCCCTACTTGTCTGGTATGTTGATGTTGTTTAGTAGCATGAATTGGTACATTCCCTTGGTATCTACTGTACTGCATAAACTTAGATAAAAGTTTAAAACCAAGGATGGACTTGCTTGATATACATATTTTCCCCCTTCAATTCAGTGGTATTTATCTTGTGTCATTATTGCATGTCTGAAATGGTAAAATTACTTAATTGTAATTACTAAAACCAACCTGTTTACTGAACTCCAAAATATGAATTCATTTTTTTTTAATTTTTTTTTTTTTTTTTTTCATAAATAGTTACTTATAATTGTCCTAAAATTAAGTCATCCAAAATGTCACTCTTCTTCAATTTATAGTGTCTGGGTTTAGCAGGCTCTGTCAGGACTGTCATCCTTAAAAGTTGAACTACCCTGAATGGCTTACAAATCAGGCTGTATAAAGTGTGCCATAGTTTGACAAACTTTTTTTTTTTTTTTTTTAAACTAATATTTGTGATTTTATATTTTTACAAGATAAACTTGTTTTCCCAGGAGGCTGTAGAAGTTTGTAATTTTATAAACATTAGATTTATATTGGTATTTGAATCTGCTGGATTTTGCTGCTGGTTTATGTTATGCTGTTGTGTTTTTTGTTTTGTTTTTTATCTGCTGGTGGTAACTAGACATCTCGTTTTTTCTTAATGTGTCAATGCAGATGTGCTAACATTTATTATGGCAAACTTCTGGCCTCTGCTTTGACACATATTTGTTTGTATATCTGTTAGTCTATAATTAAACATTTTCATTTAATAATCAAAAGTTGCTGATGGTGTTGGGTTATTTTTTGGAAAAAAAATTTTGTGGCTTTTTTTTTGTTTTTATAAACCAATTTGGAAATTAATGTGTGTGTGTGTGTGTTTATATTTTATATTTGTGTGTATATGTATGTGTCCTCTCTGTCACTCTGTGAGTGTGTGTATTACTTTAATTGTTAAGTGTGCTCTATATTTTAAAGTGAAATATTGAATATTTTATTAAAAAAAGTAGTCCAAAATTCTAAAAGATTTTTGCAAAGCATGTTTTGTATTGCAGTTGAGAAGTATTCACAGACTGAGTACAATGTATTCTCAATAGTTTACTGTTTTTTGAAATGTCTTTAGATTAGTGACTTTTGCTATATATTGTATATTGGATGCTAACCGTTTTGATTGTTTTAATAAATTACTGCATTTCTATTTGTTGTTTATGTAATAAGTGTTTCTTCAAATATTTTTAGATTAGGTTTAGTTTGTGGTATTATTCTAAAAATCGTGCCTCTTGTGTATAATTTTGTAAACTGGTGCCGAGATAGGTCATTTTATATTGTTTGAGCACTGTACATTTAGAGTCTTGTATTCTCACAATGTATCTTGTCATGCTTTAAATATTACATTTTGTTAATGGGGGGAGGGGGGGCTAAATTTTATTAAAAACAAAGATTTTGGCTGGTTTACCCACGAGCACCAGACTGAAGTCTGGCTTCTACACTTTATTTTTTTTTTCTTTATCTGAAAATAAAAATGTTAATGTGCACCCCAAAACAAATGCCACCTATTGCCATCATCACAATCTGTCCTTTAGAGATCTGATTCTAAAATCAAATAACCCACTCAATTAACCATTGCAGGTCTGTATAGAGGCACCAGTGGTAAATAAACAGGCCCTCCATTGTTACATTGTCTAGGGACCTGGAAATGATGGCAACATATAGCTCTTAGTCCTTAATGTGTTAAATGCATTACTCAAGTTCCCCCACCCCCCCTCGTCACTTAAATAACTGTTCCTAATATGTGTAAAGTGGCTTAATGTTTTGAATTGTCTAGAAATCTTTGTGTGTGTGTGTGTGTGTGTGTGTACATTTTGCTTTTGTGGATTTGTACTTCCTAAGGATATAGCACTTGTCTAGATTTAAAGGGATATTATTCAAGTGCTTTAGTCTGTTTGGGGTCACCTATTGTGCCTTTATTTATTTAAGTCCAGCAGGAAGTTACAAATGAGTTTCATGTGGGAAGATTGCAGCAGTGTTCAGAGCTTTGCTCACAAGAGCTTACAATCTAAAGCGAGTTGTCAAACCTTTGCAGTGCAGTTGAACTCAGACTGCAGTTCTCATAACTCCCACAGAGCTTGATGGAATTGTAGTCTAGTATTTGATTAGTCCACCCTTTGTTGTGTGCAGTGAAGATGTGTAACTGTACATATTGAGATTAGTTCCTATCTCAGTAGAGTATACAATGTTAGTATAATAGCCCTTTGGGGAACACATGTAAAATTAGTTATATAACCTCTCCACAGGGATTGCGGTGTGAATATATGATGGATTATCCCTCTTTTGGGGAATAAGATTGTTTTCCTCATCTGTAATTAGCCAAGCAGCTCGTAAACGTTGCTTCACCAGGAAACCTGATTCTCTTGTTTTTTCTTTTTTTTTTAAGAATAACAAGATAAAAATGGCCCTGATTGCAGTCTACCTATGTTGCCAAGCATGGCACTGGCAAAAACACCACCCTCCTTTAGTGTGGGGGGTTGGGGGGAAGGGGAGGCTCTACATGTTTTAATTTGAGTTCATCATTTGTTTAAAATGTGTCTGCTTGAAGTTTTTTGTTGTTGGACTATATATTTATCTATATATTTTATTCAGTGTCTCCAAGTCGCATAATAAAGAATTTGCAGCTCTCCTGTTGTTTGGCATATTAAAGGCCATGTGCTTTCAGACTCCACACCCCTCTCTGAAAGTAGATACAGTACTTTCAACTGTAGTAGAGAGTCAGGTATTACTGTCTCCTCTAAAATTCAAAGTGCAACTTTCACAAACAAAAAACACAGCGGCATTAAACGTGTATGTTATATCAGCCGGACTAACATACGCATGGATTTCTGTGAATATTTTTTATTTCCACGCTATTGGAGTTTAGTTTCACCAAACTCTTTAGTTATGTCATGGTTTTTCTTTTTTTTTTTTTTCTTCAAGTGCTCCGAACACATTAGCATCATGGCGTCCTATAACTATTATGTTGGCCAAGTTTTGGGGTCTGAAATAATTTAATGCCACGGTTTGGTTTTTGTTTAACAATACAGCAATAATGAGACTGGTAAATGTTACTGTCTCTCTAAATCTTCAGGGTGCAAATATTGCCCTTTGTAGTTTTGGAGCTAAAATAATGTTCTCTTTTTCCCAGACAGGACAAAAACTACACGCTCAGTATTTTTTGGTGTTTTTACAGAGAAGACTGACATTTCTGCCTGAAGAATCTGTCTTCTGTAACCAAAGGAAGTCCATTTAGAAGATGAAAGTTAAACCATCTTCTAAGGTTAAAAAATATTTTAAAGGGACACTATAGTCACCTGAACAACTTTGGCTTAATGAAGCAGTTTTGGTGTATAGAACATGCCCCTGCAGCCTCACTGCTCAATCCTCTGCCATTTAGGAGTTAAATCCCTTTGTTTATGAACCCTAGTCACACCTCCCTGCATGTGACTTGCACAGCCTTCCATAAACACTTCCTGTAAAGAGAGCCCTATTTAGGCTTTCTTTATTGCAAGTTCTGTTTAATTAAGATTTTCTTATCCCCTGCTATGTTAATAGCTTGCTAGACCCTGCAAGAGCCTCCTGTATGTGATTAAAGTTCAATTTAGAGATTGAGATACAATTATTTAAGGTAAATTACATCTGTTTAAAAGTGAAACCAGCTTTTTTTTCATCTATAATAAATATAGATTCATTCTGAAAGTAATTTGGAAAGCATTAGTGTTCTGCCGCTTTCAGAAATTCTTACTTCTACTTTTTTATTTTTTTCATAGGATCTGATTTTTGGAAATATGTGCAACAGGCAGAGCTTTGGTCCAGAGCTTTGTTTTTATATATTTCTTGGAAGTTTCTCACTGCCATATGTCCCATGTCAAGTTATGTAACTAAAGTTTGGAAATATAAAATTGTCGCCCTCCGAAATGGAACATGATTGTGATCTGTATCCCTGGATACACTGAATTAAAAGATGTATGGACACGGTGGTCCCCAGAAATCCTTGAAAGCTGCTACTAGTTAGTAACCACTATTACTCTGTTGCCACAGCCAAGGATTCTCTATCTCTTGTGTTTGCAGCCTCAGAATAATTGGGCTCTTTGCTGCAGTGTTTATAGCTGTCTCACCCAAATACTAGCTGAGACTTGGTGATGGGTGATGAACTGGTTTATTGGTAAAATGTCACCTTTTCTAACTGGGGTGTCAATTGAAGGTCTCCAGGGAAAACAATACAATTGCGACTTCACTGGCACCTTGAGGTCTGTACCTGAGCCGCTAATTTAATTAGCGGTCAGACACCTTGGCATTGGGGCACAAAATACAATATAACTTTGGTTCTCATCCCCACAACCCCACACAACCGGTGTCTCCAGGAAGCTTGGATCAGAGCACCCACCAGTCCAAAAAGCACCTGGATCGGATGTGGGGGGACTGTAGGGGTAAATGTTGATTAGTCTTTTAAGAGAGGCGTGGCAGCTGGGGAGACATATGCCAGTCCTAGGTGGTCCATCACAATCGTGTGGCAACCTTAAATCATGGGTGCCCAATAGGTCCCCAGATGTTTTAAAACTACAGCTTCAATAATGCTTTGTCATTCTAAAAACATTCAGAGAATCATGGTAGCTGTAGTTCTACAACATCCTGGGGATCTATCTTTTGGGCACCCCTGCTTTAAATGGTGCAGTTTATTGGTTTTTTTTGTTTTTTTTTCTGATGGAGGAAGTGACCAGTGGTGTGCCTACATATACGGCGGCAGTACCCTGCTAGCACCATAAACACTAATGGGATAGGACAGGCATAGGCAACCTTCGGCACTGCAGATGTTTTGGACCACACTTCCCATGATGCTTTGCTGGCATTATGGGTGTAAGAGCATTATGGGGGATGTAGTCCACAACATCTGGAGTGCCAAAGGTTGCCTATCGCTGGGATAGGATGTTCTTTTAAAGGATCACTATAGGGTCAGGAAAACAAATCGGTTTTGCCCCCACCCTCAGGAACCCCTCCTGTGGTGCTGAAGGGGATAAAACCCCTCAGTTACTCACCTTCTTCCACCGCCAGGCTCCCTTACCTCTCCTCCACCGGCGTCAGCTCCCCTATCTGACGTCAGCGGAATGGAATGCGCATATGCGCCTCTAGTGGCTGTCCGGAAGACAGCCACTAGAGGCTGGATTAACCCAAAATGTAAACATAGCATAGCCTGTGTGTTTGTCAAATCATTGACTTAGTGTGTGTGACCAGCCCACCTCTGCGCCAGTACTAACACAGTGGCTGAGAATCAAGAGGATTTCAGCCAACCGAATGGCTTCAGATAGGAAGGGGGGGGGGTCTATTGCGCATGCGCAGCAAAACGCCACACTGCACCAGTCAGCAGCTAATCACAGAGATGCATTGAATCAATGCATCTGTATGAGGAGAGTTTAGCGTCTGTTTAGTGACTGCCACCAGAGATGTAACTAGGCTATAATGTAAATACCGCCTCTTCTCAAAAGGCAGAGTTTACACTCCTATGGCTGCAGGGACTGGATAGAGAAACCAGAAAAACGACATTAAACTGTAGTGGTTCTTGTGACTATAGTGTACCTTTAAGAATTGTATATTTGTCGTTGAATATAAAGCTTAGTTAGTTTAAAAATACCTGGCTCCTAACTTTTTTTAGCTGGCTCCTAGATTCAAAGAAAATATGTCAAGCCTAGAGTTAAACAATATATAAAAAAGATACATGGGTAGAAAATATTAATAATGAACACTTCAAGCACCATAACAACTGTGGCTGTATATCACTGTAGTTGTTATGGTGCAAGTAGTGCCCTGGCGCCACTCCCTTGTAAGGAGTCTAACAGGTTTTGAACGGTTTGATTTCTTGCCTGTGGTTGGCAGAGTGCCACTACCTGCCTCCACTGCCAACCTCCAAGTGCAGGAGGTTCCGAAACAGGAACTTCTGTCTGCTATACAGGGCTTAGCTCAGGACAGCTAACAGATCTTCCTTCTTAGTTAGCAGGGGAAAGGTGCCCAGCACAACCCAGGTAAGAAGTCAAAAATAAATAAAACCCAACACTGATTGATTCCATACAGTGGGTAATAGTGAGCTGTAGTGGTTATGGTGATTGGGGTATTCTGTTAATATGCATTTTAACAGGAGTGATGGATGTGCAAGGCAAATGGGCATAAACGTTAGTTAAGTTGATTCCACTAGTCTCGTTATCGTCAAATTATCCAAGAAGTGAAAAAACACGTTTCTTCATTTGGAAATAAATCATAAAAAAAAATATTTAATTTAACTTCTGGCAATTGGTGTACTTTCTGACCATTATTTAATTTTTACATAATAAAAAAAGAAAAATGTAACCTCTGAAAATAAAATAGTAAACCAAAACATAAAATAATGGTACCTATTGAGCAACCGTCTGGCATTTCTTTCTAGTGCTGTAGAGCTATGAGGATTATGTGTATAAAGTTCTAAGTTCACTATAATAGATTTTCTGTGCTCGTGTCATTCTTCTGTATAAAACTTTACTACATCCTTCACGCACATCAGTGGTGCCTTTCTTGTAGTGCGCCAAAATACTCTATCTTACCTCTACTTTTTATTCCTCTTGGGATATGTTTGGCTTTTTATTAAAGAAAATAAGAAGTGGTGCAAGAAAATAATTTCTACTCTGATACATAATCAAATGAAATCATAACATTACTGTTAAAGGGACACTATAGTCACCCAGACCACTTCAGGTCAATGAAGTGGTCTGGGTGCCAGGTTCCTCTAGTCACCATGGCAACTTGGCGCCTGGGATTTGTTGAGCTTTGATTTAACTTGGTTGCTTAAATCAAACCTGCTCAGTTGTTCAAAAGCCTTCAGGAATGACCCTTCTACCTCTAGAGAGATTGAAACATGGATTGATTTAAAGGGACACTCCAGACCCCTATAGTACTTCAGCTCACTAAAGTGCTTTATGTGTGAAGCATGTGTCCTTTTTGTATTATTTTACAATAAGTGCAGCTTTCAATAGAAATAGGCACTCTTCTAAACTAACCTTGTTACACCTTCCTGGTTGTCAATCAGACACAAGGTCCTTTTATTTCCTGGTTGGCTCAGTCGCCAATTGCTTAGAGCTCTTGCCTACTTCTCATTGAGCTGCATTTGGAATTCTGTGTTTGGGCAGCCACAGAAAGTCTGGGCTGGGTTAGAAGGGGGGAGGGCTTGCAAAGACTTGCAGCTTTTGCAAGTTGTTTTCAAAGAAACCCACAATTACACCAAAATCTTTTTTACCAAACTGATTGATTTATGTATTTGGGCAGTGAAGTATTCGTTTAACATGACTAATGAATATGTGGCTGGGGCAAGTAGCTTAAAATATGTTACAAACCGGATTGTACACTAAATTCTGATTCTTATAATTTTTTATTTTTTTTCCGTAAATTAAATCCAAATGTAAGGAAAAAATAGTCGATATGGGAAATTTCTCCAACTCTGCCATAGTCATTTGGTCTAGTTATGCCTCAATTTTTCCATTCTATTTTAATTTGCAAAAATTCAGAGTTTATTGAATAACCTTTAAAGTAATTTTTTATGGTGTTATGAGAATAACCATGAATGTTTTCCTGATACATATTTAAAGGGACTCTCCAGTGCCAGGAAAACAAACCCATTTACTTGGTTGGAGTGCCCTCCCACCCCCCCATCCCATGTTGCTGAAGGGATTAAAACCTCTCCAGCCACTTACCTGAATCCAGTGCCGATGTCCCTCGGTGCTGGGTCAGGCTCCGCCCACGCTCCTCCACCTCTGACGTCAGACGGCGGGGGAGACCTAATGCGCATGCACGACAGTAGCAGCGCGCATTAGACCTCCCCATAGGAAATCATCAATGCTTTCCTATAGGGAAAATCTGACACTGGAGGTCCGTGAGGTTTCTATTTCAGAAGCCCTCTAGTTGCTGTATGTTAGACAGTCGCAGAGGGCAGACTTGGAGCTGCAATGTTTTTACCCTGAACCCCTTTAAAACACTGACCCAGGTTTTACTGTTGGAAATATATATATTTATATAAGTAACCCCTGCACTCCAACGAACAAAAAAGAAAACCAATACCTGGTGCTCTGGTGGCTCAATTATAAGCAAAGAAAAATACCGGCACTCAAAGTTTTTTCAAAATCGACGTTTCAGCTCTTCTAGGGAGCTTTCATCAGGACACAAACATTCTTAAAACTGAAAATACACTTATATAGGACATGCAATAATAAAGTACTTACATTCAGCTGGTGTTCATTACCATCAGCCGCCGGGTACGCCGTGCCCGCCAGCTTAATTCAGAGCTACTTCCTGGTTAGTAAGTCATCTGACCAGGTGTGCCGTCGTGATTGGTTAAATCCCGTGTTACCTGGGCAACCAAGGACGCTTATGTCCGATTGGATGAGACACCTCAATACCGCAATTTTCAAGATGAGACGTCGCTATAGCAACCGGCGTGTATCCCGGGGGCTAGAAGGAAACAAACGAGCAAAAAAAAATCAACAAAACACATGATTAATCGAGAATAATCAAAATAGGAGCTATAACATTAGCTCACAGATATTTAATTCCCCTAAATCAACTTCAAGTCAAAGTACATTTCCTGTGGGTATAAATTAATATATAAATTGATAATACAAATTGCACAAAAATGTATGCATAGTGAAATAACCTAAATTATTGATAAAAAAATTTAGTAATGATAAAAAAGAAATTGATTATATCTAATCAATAAAATATCAAAAGAGCTTTAGTGAAATCATAATAACTATTATATAGCAATCCTAAGTTGCAAAAAAATATAATGTGATATGTGTAACACAATCTCCAGTATTAATAAAAAGTGGTACAAACTTGGACTTTTAAAGCATATTCATTTATAGATATACCTCATTTATAGATATATAGGGGTACACTTACTATTAAGAGTTGATGAGACTTACTTCTCTTCATCATATACACTCAGAGATAAGAAGATATTTTTAAATATGCTTTAAAAGTCCAAGTTTGTACCACTTTTTATTAATACTGGAGATTGTGTTACACATATCACATTATATTTTTTTGCAATTTAGGATTGCTATATAATTTTTTTTCCCCCACAATAAATGGAGAAGTAAACTTTGGAAAATCCTTGAGTGACGGTATTTTTTTTTGTGTGTGTGTGTGTGTGTATCTTGAGGAAGACCTGAAGAGGTCGAAACGTCGATCAGATGTATGTTACCTATTATTAAATAATATTGAGTTTTTTTTTACAAAGACCTGAGAGTGCATCTCTTTCCTTTTTGAGATATATATATATATATATATATATATATATATATATATATATTTATTATTATTTAAAACCAGGGGGCTGCACTCACCTGAACATACATAAATGGGGTGCTGCTGGGGGTCAATACACAGGTGCCTCATCCCAGGGCCCTATTTAGCCTTGTACTGCAGAGAGTCCCAAATTTTCCCCCCCAGTAAGTGGGTTAATTTCATAAGAGCAGATATTAGGCTGTTAGAGTAGGACCTGCTGAATACGGGGTACATTGGCGTTGTGGCAGGCTTATGCAATGTATGATCATATAATGTAACTAAACACCCATTATTTTTACCTAGATTAGATAGATAGATATATATATATATATATATATATATTCCTAGTAAACCCTGCCCCCAACTCACCAGCTGTCAATCAATTTTAAACTGGTTGCTATGCCTACCACCTGGCTCTGCTGTGGGCTACATTTTACTGAAATTCCAACCGAGTGAAGATATACTGAGACACATAGGGACTACTTTGTCTCAGTAATTTTTCCTACGCCTGATGCTCCAAGATGCTGGGTGTAGCTACTGCTGTCTAGAAGTGTCAGTCTCCCAGCTGTCACCAGTGACGGTTGCAAGGTGTGGGCCTGCAGTCTCGCAGGACACTCTATAGACTTCAATGCTGTACTTGAGCACATGAGTGAGAGTACAACTGTGACGCTGGCTCCGCCATGCGCGCAATAGGACCTCACGGAAGATGTCGGTGCCCTTGAGGGACAGGTTTAGGGAAGTTAAACTCTCCTTTCCATGTCTTCCCGGGCCACCGGACCCCCAGTAGCGATTTCACTGTCTCGGGTCTTAGCAAATTATGCTTTAATTATCACTTTTTAAGAGTATGCTATCGATTTATAAAAATGCAGGCAGTGTATAAAATCATACTGTATGAATTGGTTGTGGGTTTTATTTTATTTATTGTTCCCCATTACATTCTGTATTTTTTGTGTTTTTCACAAAAGTACATGTGCTGTTTACTTTGTAATCCTGTCAGAGAAGCCATTTTGACGGAAATAAAACTTTATATATGGAATTTGCCACCCTATTTCTTAAAAAAAAAAATAATAATAAAAAAAATGTGTTTTTATTAAATATGGGGAGCTTCCATTGGGCTGCAGAGAGACCTCATGTGGGGTATATTTTCTGCTGTCCCTTGTCTGTCAGTGCCTCGGCACGCTATTTTTAAATACGTTTTTCACCTAATCTATAAATTTGTTGGCAAAACCTGCCAGCATAATGTATAGATGCAATATTGTTCTCAATCTAATAGGTTTCGGTTGTTTGGAGCATGACCAGTGCCATTGAAGGGTTTATTACAATGTGTAACCTGAGCCCATATGGGACTCTGCACCCATGGTGCATTTATCAATTGAAACTTATATTTCTTGAAAAACGCTGGAAAGGTTTTTAAAGGAACCCTCCGAGCACTCTATTCACTACAGCACGCTGTTATAGTGCCAAGAATTCCCTGACGCCCTACCACAGAAAGTAGTTACGATTTGACAAGTTAAGTTTGTCTTGCCATGTGCTTATGGTGTTTGGAGTGTTACTTTATTGGACTAACAATATATTGTAACAAGGATCACCGCATACTGCAATACTCCTGTAATATAGGGCTGTGTGTATATAATTTGCAGGAATTGTTACTCCCTTCATACAAATACAACTTCCTGCTGACCAGGTTGGAAGCACATTGTCCCCCCATCCCCCGCTGTGTCTGTGGACAAGTATGGGGACTATCAGTCCTAGTCCAGCCTGCTAGGCCAGCTGCGAGTTTACAGCCTGGAACTTTATCTTGCAATGATTAGATAGTTCTTATTTTAGTGGCCTGTTTGGTGCTGTTTCCTGAACCCTCAATCATCTCTGTTAAAAAGACATTCATCACTTGACACATATGTTTTTTTAATATTATTATTTTATTTTTTTTTTAAACAAATGTAAAAATCAGAATAAAGTAAGCAAAACTTTGAGAACTAAATGTAATACACATTTCTAAACTTGCTATAAAGCTGGTCAGATTATATATTAGGGTACACCTTTACGCTTGGAGAGTTGCACCTCCCTCCCACCATCCCCCCCAACACACAACTTTTTAATTTGAGACCAGTCCATTAATGACAAACTGGGGATCATTGTGCAGAAGCAGGACAGAGACGCCAGATATCCAATCCTGCTCTGCATGGTCACACTGATCAGACTTCCATTCTTCTCCCCTTCGGGATGTTGCAAGGTGAAGGGATCTTCCAACTCATGTGTAAATCTGTAAGGCATGCCCAAAGCACTTTAACAGCATTCCTAGGGATAGGATGCTAGTTGGACAATCTGCAAAAAAAAAAATTATATATTTTTTTTTTGCCTGTAGTGAGGTAACAGCCTCCTTCAAAGCTTATGTTTTTGAATGCAATAGTTATCTCAAAGTGATGCATTTTTTTTTTTATTTTTTTTTTAAATTCTTTATTTTTCATTTTTGGTGCATGGTATTTAAGTTTCGCAAACAGGTGTGCATGTAAGTGCTCCAAAAACGTATAGATACAATGTCGTTTAAGTTTTGCACCAATTTTGGGTCAGGCAGTAACTTATTCAGGAATAACATTAACATAGTAAGCTTTTCAAGATGCTCTGTCGGGGTTTGTCTGTATGTTTTGTATACCCTTGTGTATAGGGTGAGGCATTATGTATTGTGTCAGCACTTGTGGATTGTGGGTCTGATGGTGCTAGCACTCCGTGTGTGTAGGGGAGTAGGTGCGGCTATGGTGTGCCTGGGTAGCGTTAGGCTAGGTCTTTGTGTTGTGCTGGGTGAGTGAGTCTGTGTGCTATGGTGGAGGGTCACAGGTGATGCTTCTGGGCTGATTGGTTAGGGGGCAGCGGGGGGGGAGGGGTTAGGACTGTGGACGCCACGTGTTTGGGCACAGGTTGTGCTGGTTCTTGTGGTGTTGTCTAGTTTATGTCAACTATGATATAGGGTAAGTGAGTCATGAACCTGTGGTAGTGAAGCTTAGATACAACGTTAAGCATTAGTGAAGAATAAACTAATAAAAAAAAAAAATGTAACTAACTAAACAGTGAGGTCTCAACATGAAAGGTATGCCACTGTTGTGTTGGTAAGGCTGGAGGTATCAGTCCACACCCTTCAGGGTACAGGGTGTTGTGATCCGTTGGGTCCCGGTACGAACGGGATGGTACTCTCAGGATCCCACTAAAGGCTTGGAGCCCCTTTTGGTGCGAAAAGTACAAAATCCGTAGTTTTTTTTTATTTGGTAATCTCTAGCATTGTTATGGTTTATGTATTTATTTTGGGTAGTTCCTGAATATGACGTACCAGGTCCAGTTACTACAGACCCACTGATAGTGGCAAGGGAACTTTACTTGGGTATTAAAAACCAGACGTGCAGCTGTAAACCCAGAAACATTCTCGGACAGTTAGATCATCTTGTGTTTATGCCCCTTTAAGACCTCAAGGGGGCGTTGGTGTCTATGTTTGGCCGTCTGTATTATATGATTAGTTTGCCAGCAGCCACCCTGGTTCATTCATAGCTGTCCCCGCTGTTACCAGGAGCCACTTGCTTCTCTATTTTGTCTGTTCTCCTTCACTTAGAACCCGGCTGGCTAGGATCCAATAGCACACGTGCATTTGTGTCCTGGAGTATACTCTTACAAGGTGCAATGCCAGCAATGTCTCTTCTGCTCAAATCCTTTCTGAATTGTTTATATCTTTTTTTTATTTTTTTATTATTATTTATTTTTTTACTTTATTTTTTGTGTGTGTAATTTTTATTTTAGTTTTTTGTTTTTCATTATAAAAAAAAATAATATAAACATAAAGTACCGGTAACCTTCTATAAGATTAGTTTTACAAATCATATTTTAAGGACGAATTGGCTATGTTTTCATTCTGGCTATTTTTCCCCAAACATTTGAAATTCACTTTGAATTCTCGAGTTCACATTTTGGTGAATCCATCTTGATGCTAAAGTGGGTTCAGCTCATAAAAAAAACAAAACGAAAAAGAACTATAGCATTCCAAACCCCTGTCCCTAACGCTATAGTGTTATCCTCGTCTTTTATATTCTGCTGAACACCTACTTTATATACTGCATGGGAGCAATGGACAATCTGAGAAAATCACATTAAAGATCATTTTTATTTTATAAGAGGTTAATAATAATTTGTTTTAAAAAGAGCTGAGCCATATTGCAGATGTAGACTAATTTGTATTAAGTATTTTTTTTGTTTTCATGTACCAATATGAATTTATTCTGTATACGGCCATCTAGTTACGCCTTATAACAGTCGTTATATTCCTCACAAAGCCCTATGTTTGTTTAAATTCTGCTTAGTTTGGCTCCTCATACACTATGTTCTTCTTGTCCATCTGTTTCACACCCTGCAGTATCGAGAAAACGGACCTAGAGATTGATGTACCAGGGGAAGCCGAACCCAGAGCTGCCGAGTAATTTCTCTAGACTCCTGCCTTTCTGATTTCTACCAGCGTCGGGAATGACCTCACAAACAAAGATGGCTGCCTCCTGACTCCTGATTGAAACAGTAAGATTAACATATATTTTCTTTATTCGTGCTCTGGTGTGAAATCAGTTTGTACCATATAGGAGGCACATTCAGAAAATGTTTATTTTAAAGGGACGCGAGACCGAAGTTCACTTCTTTTCAGTCATTGTTCTTATACATTGAAGTTCTGGTTGTGGTGTGTGTTTTTATGTTGTCCTGTTTTTTTTTTTTAATATCTAAGTTTTATGACCGGTGATTTGTATATTATGTGCAGAGATCCAGTTCTACCATGCTTTCTGGGGCACAGACTAATTTTCACGTCGCCTCTTCTTCATACATCTGTAAAATGTTTTGGTACCTGTTGATACATGACACGGCATCGTGTTTACCATTTTAATCTCAATTAATGAAATGGCACAGTCCACGGCATGATATCACTAAATCAGTTGGCAAATTGTATTGAATAAAGGGACCCAGTATGCACTATAATTGCTTCTTCTTATCAAAGTGGTTATATTGTCTGGAGTGCCTAGCGCTGTTGTTCCATTCTATGTTAAATTTTAATGCTAAGCAATAGTCCCAAAGGTCCATCACCCTCTGTGCTGCTTGGACTGAGGAATCATTAGCCTGACTGAGCTGAGCAGCAATAGGCGACTGTGATTGGCTGCAAGTGTCAGCTGACAGCTTTCATCCTATCACAGCGCCTATTGCTGGTATGGCTAGAAGGAAGTGTATAATCTGACTTAGCCACTCCTTTGGTGGAGGCCGGGCTGTGTGAAGCCAGCAATCCTCATTCAGTGTTAAATGGTTTGAATATGGCTTAATGAAGGGACAGTGCCAGGGGATTCCACGCATTAGAACTTATTCAACAAAATGGTTATAGTGCATACAGTGTCCCTTTTTTTTAATGCTGTTTTTGTTTAAAGGACCACGCTAGGCACCCAGACCACTTCAGCTTAATGAAGTGGTCTGGGTGCCAGGTCCCTCTAGGATTAACCTTTTTTTTTTTTTTTTTTAATATAAACATAGCAGTTTCAGAGAAACTGCTATGTTTATAATAAGGTTAATCCAGCCTCTATTGGCTGTCTTACTGACAGCCGCTAGAGGCGTTTGCGTGCTTCTCACTGTGAAAATCATTGAGAAGACGCAAGCGTCCATAGGAAAGCATTATGAATGCCGTGCATGCGCATTCAGCCGAGGAGGCGGAGGAGAGCTCCCCGCCCAGCGCTAGAAAAAGGTAAGATTTAACCCTTTCCTCGCCATCCAGCCCGGCGAGAGTGGGACCCTGAGGGTGGGGGCTCCCTCAGGTCACTATAGTGTCAGGAAAACGAGTATGTTTTCCTGGCACTATAGTGGTCCTTTAAACCGTTAACCCATCTATAATTCAGACTGCAAACAAGTCTCTAAACATGCATCTTATTACTAGATTAATGCAAAAAAAATGGCTGCTTTTGAGCGGTTTACAGGGAATCATTAAGCCAATATTTTCTTGTTCAAAGGAAGGGTTTATGAACTGAACGATGTCTTATTTTGGGTTGTTTTTTGCCTGAACTACTGTATTTGTTTTCTGATTCAGGTTCTATGATTGGTCCTCCTGAAATGGGATGTCGTTCCCATTTGGGGGCCATAAAGGAAAAGATTCTGCTGCTGAACTGCCGCAAACAAAAGTGATCTAGCGACAGGCAAAGATGTCTGTAGTGACCACAGCGGCGCAGGCTCCGCAGGGGCCGGTCAATCTTCCTCCTCCTGAAATCACAAATCCTAACAAGCCTGGGCGGAAAACAAACCAACTCCAATACATGCAGAATGTTGTGGTGAAAACACTTTGGAAGCATCAATTTGCATGGCCGTTTTACCAACCTGTGGACTGTATTAAACTAAATCTTCCTGTAAGTCAATGGATCCTACCACACGTCTATAATCCAAGAATGTTTTTGACCTTGTGTGTGTCTTCAAGTGGCAGTGTAATAGCTAGTTCATAGCTTAGACTGAACCAAATGGCACAACAGAGTGCAATTGTCACTTGACAAAGAATCTTGTGAATATTAGATTTACAATGGCTATAGATCAGCAGTGGCCAAACCATAGATTCTCCGCTTTGGTAGATCATTCCTTCTTACGATGTATTGTCAGTCATAAAAGCACATGAATCACTTCACCTTTAATTTATTTTTTTTCACCAGCAAGCAAACACTTTTTAAAAACAAATATACAAACTAAACCACGAAAACTTTGAAAAGGATGTAATGCACTTTTATAAACTTGGGCAGATTGCATTATTGGGCACACCTCCCAGCTAAGGGAGCTTCAAAACCTGTTCACACACTCACATTTCAGACCAGTCCACTAATAACACCGTCAGGTTGTTGCAAGGTGAACAGATCTTCTATCTGCACATGTGTAAATATGTCTTACATGCATAATGCACTTTTTCAGCATCCCTGGGGATAGGACACTGAATGGTTAGATCAGTGCTGACCCGGGTGGGTGTGCAAAACATGCAAAAACAAAATCATATTAATCTGCTTTTCCAGCCTGCAGAGTGAAGCAACCGTCTCATTCAAATCTAAAGATGTGATGCATGTACCATTAAGACTGTATCCAATCTGTTATATTGTATCCACCTTTAAAAATAATAGAGAGATGGGAACATAGCGTGATACAGTTTAATTTATTAAAATCACCTTAACGCTCCTATATGAAAACTCTTACAAGAGAATATGGTGGTTCTCGTCTCCAAGTACCTCGAATAACACATAATGTACGGTATAGTATGCAGGAAACAGTTCAGGGTTGCCACTCCGTGTGTTCACTGCTGTGGTCTGCTCAGTGCACTTGAGCCGGGTGAGATAGTTTGTCCCTCTGAAGAACGCCAAACCCTGCTTCTGCCTAAACAACGTCCGTACTCTTCGCGATAGTAGGCTGAAATGCCACCAGCACCATCAATGTGTTTCGCCCCAGTAAAAGAGGCTTTCTCAAGATGTTAATCTTGAGAGCCTTTTAAGAGAGATTTTAATTTAATTAAACAGAACTTGCAATAAAGAAAGCCTAAATAGGGCTCTCTTTACAGGAAGTGTTTCTGGAAGGCTGTGCAAGTCACATGCAGGGAGGTGTGACTAGGGTTCATAAAAAAAGGATTTAACTCCTAAATGGCAGAGGATTGAGCAGTGAGGCTGCAGGGGCATGTTCTATACACCAAAACAGCTTCATTAAACTAAAGTTGTTCAGGTGACTATAGTGTCCCTTTAAGGGGACTTTAATAAATCAATAAAATGTATCACGCTATGTTCCCATCTCTCTACTATTTCTAAAGGTGGATACACTATAACAGATTGGATACAGAGGTGCTCATACCAACTAAGAGCTGGACAATGTTGCAAATTAAGTATTACAGTCACTATCATTCCTCCCCTGACACCTGATAACAGAACTTTTGGACAGAGTTTTTATATACTTTTATATATTTCTATATTCGTTTACTATACCGAAATGATGTATAGTGGGCCAGAGACATTGGCAGGGGATCAGTGGGATGAGGGAAAGATGCTAAGCACAGTGCTTACAGCTATGAGCCACAGTGTGGTAGATGCATGTGATTACCACTTGAAAGAGATCTATTCTCTAAGGCAGTAGTGATGGGAGTTGAGATCTTTAACTGTCTGGGTAGCCATACTACACAATGGCTTATCGTGACCTTTCGGATGGTTTATAGACTATATTTACCCTAAAACCTGGCAAGGCATCATGGCACATATTTACAATTCAATTCAAGGCTATGGTTGGCCATTTCTCTTATAGGAAATGGACTTTTTTTCAGGGGCATAATGAATTTCTTTTTTTTTTTTTTCTTTTTTTTTTTCTGTTCTGGCAGGACTATCACAAAATAATTAAGAATCCAATGGATATGGGAACAATAAAGAAAAGGCTTGAAAATAATTATTATTGGAGTGCCAATGAGTGTATGCAGGACTTCAATACTATGTTTACAAACTGTTACATTTATAACAAGGTAAGAATGGTGTGTTGCATATTCGTGTGGATATAAGATATTCCGATTGTCTTACTAGAAGTAGTCTTAGTGCTGCAGTGTAATGTTTGTAGTTTGTCTAAAACTGCAGTTTTACATTACAGGACTATGAGCTGAAGCGGTCTGGGTGCCTGTAGTGTACATTTAAAGGGACACTATATAGGCACCATGGCAACTTTAGATTAATTAAGCTGTTTTTGTGTATAGATCATACCTCACTGTCTCACTGCTCAATTCTCTGCTATTTAGGAGTTAAATCACTTTTGTTATCGTTTATGTAACCAGAGATGTGTTGTTAATAATGTGATATTACATATTCGCTAAATGTCTTGTCTAAAACCTTTGACTTCGGTACCTTGGAGCACAATTCAGTGGGTTTGTAATGCTATGTTTGCTGATTGCTGACTTGTCAGTGATATTTTCCATCGGGCTACAGCCAGGTGCGTGAATGTGCATTGGCCTTGCACCTGGTTACCTGGTCTGTCATCCAGACTGATACAAGGTATTTTGAGCCTCCTGTACATAACATTCTATGTAAGATAGATCATTCGTAGCCTGTTCATGCAACAGGAGGTCCTCCTTTCTACACCCCATTCTCGTGTTGAGATATATTGAAACACGATTCATATCTGCATATGTGGATTGAATAATAAATCTCTTAACTGGTGTGCCAAAATAAAAAATAATGGTCTTATTTTGTTTTGATGGATACTCCCTAAATAAGTTGCAGAGAAGGTTTATGTCAAACTTATTTTGATTGTTCGTTCTCCACATTTCTTAGGTGAAATGTTTTTTTCTTATTTTTTTCCCCTTTAGAATCCTGTGATATAATCTGTGCATTTTATGGGATGGCTTAATTTGCTAAACTGTATCTAATGGGTAAATGTTTCTTTAGTCCACAGATGACATTGTTTTAATGGCACAAGCCTTGGAGAAGATTTTCTTGCAGAAGGTAGCCCAGATGCCCCAAGAGGAAGTAGAATTGTTACCCCCAGTGCCAAAAGGCAAAGGGAAAAAATCTGCACCCACAACACCACAGACCCCAGGTATTTTGGCCTTGCTGCACATTGTGTTCTGAGAAGGTCATAAGTGTAAGACAGTGACCATCTGATGTAGCCAGATCCCGGTAGTAATATTGATGGCACATTGGAGATTGCATTAACTGCTCTGCTGTTCTGATCCCTGGAAACAATTGGTACATATAAATTCCCTGAAGTCTCTGCAAGGCTAACTATTTTTATGAATATTCATGAAATTGTCAAATTATAGCGTCTTATTTCATTATTACACAGACCATTTTCCTGGCTTCTACTATTTGATGTGACACCATTGCCCAGGGGTAGTCAGTAGGTACCTCCCCAGATGTTATTAAACTACAACTTCTTTAAATCAACTGCCATAAAGCTTTGCCAGCCCTTGTGGTAATTGTTCCCCCACAGCTGAAACATTACTGGTTTACTAGCCCTGAATGAATTAAAGACTTAATAAAGAAATGACCTCAATATCCAATGGATTCAAACGTGGGTTCCATGATTAAACTGTCAATTTCTTTGGGGGGGTGAATTGGTGGCGTGGAGGTGTTTTTATTATTTTTTTCCCTCTCAGATTCAAGTTTAATTTTTTAAAATATATTTTCATCTGGGCCTGCTTGAACATAAATGACAGGGGGGGGGGCGGGCGGGGGTTAAGCCACCGTGCCTCTAGCGGCGAATTCTGAAACGTTCCCAATCAGTGACCGTACCGCTTTAAACACCAACTGCCACTTTATTCAAAAGAGGCAACTCCAGTATTGTCACCTGCACAAGGAAACACTGTGTGATCTTCTGGTGGTAATTACTGCTACAATGTATCACTGCCACACTTACTATAGTATAGTCACAGCTCCAGGCAGCAGATGGCTGGATACTATGTTATAATCCTACATGTATACATTTATAAATCCCTTTTATCTGAAAGATTCTGCCTGAAGGAGAGCTGTTACTAGCTGGCCACCCATTACTAGACACCAGGAGATTTATCCTCTCTACATTGCTCCTTCACCACTGCCAGGCTGTTTTTAGGGAGGAGAGTGATTAATTCCTTGAGTGAGTTAGGTGTGGGGCTAATTATTTGTCAACTGTGTAGATAGGTAGTTGTGAGTGGAGGATGACCATTTAGGGTCATTTTAGAGGACTTGGCTAGGTGAGTTGGTAAAATAGTGTCTGTCCCAGTAAAACCTTGTACACATTCATAAACCTTGCATATTTACATTTTTACACTGTCTATAGAGGAAGTGCCTAGATTTGACTGGGCCCAGGTCTGCCTTGGCTTAAAATGTAGCTACATCACCGGTACACTGTCAACTGTAAATTCTATATGAGTGATGTGAGTTTTGCCAACTGCTTGGTATCTGCAATTATGCAAAGGGTTTTTAATTAAAGTGAAACATCAAAGTGAATTTAACATAGAAGGCTAGAAAACCGTACGGAAAGCATGCTTACCTTAGGCCATTTTTTCAGTTAAGCTAGTTTGATCTTCAATTTGAAAATCACTTTGAATTCTCACTTGGTGTTACAGATGTGCTTTTTTTAATGTGCTTTATTCACTTTTTGTCAGTAGATGGCAGTGTTGTGTGTAAATATTGTTTATTTTTTATTTTTTTGAATTTCTTTTTTTAGAGATTGTGTTTTTTGTTGTCCTGCACAATCTGAATTTGTTTTATCATGTCAGTATTACGTTTTATATTTTGATAACATTGTGGCATATTGAAACGGCACCGTTTGTAATGGCTTTTACTCTCCATAGTCCCAGAGCCAGAACTGCCTGTGGAGAAGCCGCCCTCTCCAAAGGCCGCAGTAGTTGAGCGCACTTCCAGTAGACGAGCAGAACCCGCCATGGAACGCAGGAGGGAACGATACAAAGGTATTCTAAAAACTGTCATTACCCCGGCGGCCTTTGTCTGTAATAAAAGGAGTAGAGAAGGGCGTTCTGTGATACTGGAGGTGCAGACCTCCTGCTGCCCTTCTTAGATTACAAGGGACAGCAGACTGGACTTGCCTTTCCACATCCATCACTCTCCTCCCGACCTACTAATACTATTTGTCAATGCATACAACGTAGCTGACAACCGCCACAGTCAGTGTATAGGTTCCATCGTCTTTCCTAGTTGAAGGTTATCTTGGGTCTTGTGGAATTTTTTTTTTTTTAATTTAGAATAAAGTGTTACATTTGCAGGTATTCTCTATTTTAAGGAGGGGGGAGGGGGGATAGCAGGAGCAGACATTTGCTGTACCATTGCCCACCCAGTCCTGGGGTATTTTTTTTGTCTTGTGATTTTGATAGATGTTACATTTGCCAGGTGGAGACGGCGGAGCGGGGCTAAGGGATTAATGGCAGTATACCCCTGGTTAACTATCTCAAGCCTCTAACAAGGCACATTGTTGCTTTTACTAGAGCTGATCCAGATATCAATATTTAAACTTTTCGAAAATACTGGTGTTTCTTTTTAAAGGGTCAATCCAACCCAAGCACCTTAACCACTGGAGTGTTTATGGTGTAAGGACTCTATGGATGTAGTACTGCTGGTTTCTCTCAAACTGTTAGGGAAAAAAACAACCCCAAAAAAATTGAGGATTACCTTTGGGAAGTTTCACTTTTTTAATTGAGCATCCAAAATATTTCTACTCTTATGCAGTGTTTAAAAAGAACTTATAGGGTTAAAAGCAATTCAGAGCAGCCTGTGTCTATTTTCCTTGCACAGTGCTTCATGCTCCTTGTCGTTGGTGGCCATACATATGGCTTAATCTGATGTAAGTAAAATGTTTGTGTAAGCATCTGTCTGTAATTTTAATTCCCATTCGATTACTCCTGTATGTGGTATAAGTACACATTTTCTGGCAGTTCCATTATTATTTCCACTTATATAGCACAAACAGATTCCGTAGCGCTTTACAATATTTTAAAAGGGGGGATTTAACTATAAATCGGACAATTACAAGAAAACTTACAGGAACGATAGGTTGAAGAGGACCCTCCTCAAACGAGCTTACAGTATATAGGAGGTGGGGTATAAAACACCTTAGGACAGGAAATAGCAATCAAAGTGGGAGTGAAGCAGAGCTGGAGGAGAGAGTAGAGTGCTGCCCTTTAGGAGAGGTGTGTGTGCGGTAGAGGTTACTCTGGGAGGCCATATGCTTAACTAAAGAGATGGGTTTTAAGGCACTTCTTAAGCGATTGAAGACTAGGGGAGAGTCTGATGGCAGTAGGCAGGCTATTACATAGGAAGGGAGCCGCCCGCGAGAAGTCCTGTAAGCGTGAGTTGGCTGTACGGATGCGAGCAACAGACAGGAGAAGGACATGGGCTTTGCGGAGAGACCGAGAAGGGGCATACCTATGGATCTGTGAAGAGATATGAGGGGCTAGAATTGGTCAATGCTTTTTAGGTATGGGTTAGCACTTTCAATTGACTTCTCTAGGATACAGGAAGCCACTGTAAGGACTGACAGAGGGGTGAGGTGTGAGAGGACCGACTAGAAAAGGAAAATCAGTCTGACGGCAGCATTCATTACAGACTGTAGCGGGGCCAATTAGGAGAGGGTTACAATAATCCATGCGGGAAATTACTAGAGCATGGACAAGCTCCTTAGTAGCATCTTGTTTAAGAGCGGGGTGGATGTGGGCTATGTTTTTAAGGTGGAATCTACAGGATTTGGCAACATGCTGGATGTGAGGCCAGAATCCAGTATGACACCAAGACCGCATTCGTGTAATACATGGGTTAAACACAGATATCCAAGCATATCTGAAAAGGACATTAACCTAACACCTAACCTCAGGAATTTGTGAAAGCCCCTGCTGGCGTTACCTGGGACTCAATCTCTTTTGCTTCTGTCCATGCATCCCTAGCCACACCTCTACTGGCTGTGACTGGTACAGCCTGCATGAAAAGAATGCTTTAATTTTTAATCAGATGCTAACTTGCTTTCAAAGTTTTTCTCTTCTGTTCTGTGAACTTTAATCACATACAAGAGGCTCATGCAAAGTCTAGCAGGCTATTAACAAAGCAGGAGATGAGAAATTCTAAACTAAACAGATTTTGCATTAAAGGGAGTATAAACATTAGATGACTCTATACAGGAAGTGTTTAGAAAGGCTGTGCAGGGAGGTGTGACCAGGGCTACATAAACAAAGATCAGTGAGACTGCAGGAGCATGATCTATACACCAAAACTGCTACATTTAAAATTGTTTTAGTGACTATCGTGTCCCTATAATATGAGCGAAGCATTCACCCTAGCACATTGCAAAAACACTTGGCTGGATAGCAGAACCTTCCTGAATATATTATAGTATATTATAGTTCACTAGGAACATCAGATCTTTGTTTTAGAACATATCGATGGTCCTGTAAGAAGTACTGTAGTTTATGCATTTAGTACATTGTTGGGATGTTATCTATTGTAGCTGATAGATATGTTATGTTGCACCATTTACCAGGCCACATTGTACCAATGAGTGCAATGACACCTGCTGCATGAATCAATTCTACTGTTAATGTGTAATGCTTTAATTCTGTTCAATAATAAATCTGCGCTCTTTTAAATTCTAGGTACAACGCAGGCCCCAGCCGTCTCCACAGTGAGCCCTACAGTGCAGCTTACCAACATTGCCCCTCTGATCGCTCAGACGCCAGTCATTGCTGCCACTCCTGTGCCAACCATAACTGCAAACGTAGCCCAACCTGCAGCCGCTGCACCCCCAACTCCTCCAGCTGCTCCTGTTCAAGTTACTCCTGTCGTCCCTCCAGCACCCACCGTTGTCAAGGTGAGTGGAATCTTCTATTTGCTGTGATTTCCTTTTTTTGAGATTTCTTTTACGTGGTTATTGCTGGGGGTTTCTTGTATTTGATGACTGAAGGTGTTTGGGTGTGAAATAAATAGCTAGTTTCAGGGGGCTTGTCTTTCTGTTTTCCATCCTGTTTCTCTAGCTGAGCGTCTTTCTCGCCTCTCTAGACATTGGTCTTTCCTCTGCTTTCAGGCCATAACTTACTATTGGTCGTTCCATGTCTGGGTTAATGAAACTATGAAATCGGAGTGAATGAACAAAGTAATATGTTTCAATTTCTAATTGTGTTCATGATATATTTTATCCTTTTCTCAGAAAAAAGGAGGAGTGAAGCGGAAAGCAGACACCACAACGCCCACGACCTCTGCCATCACTGCTAGTCGCAGCGAATCTCCTGTACCCGTCTCGGAGCCCAAGCAAGCTAAGATCTCAAACAGGAGAGAGAGCGGCGCGCGACCCATAAAGCCACCAAAGAAGGACTTGGAAGATGGCGAGGTGCCGCAGCACGCAGGCAAAAAGGGCAAACTGAACGAACACCTGAAGTACTGTGACAGTATTCTGAAAGAGATGCTGTCAAAGAAACATGCTGCATACGCCTGGCCCTTTTACAAACCTGTGGATGCAGAGGCCTTGGAACTGCATGACTATCATGATATAATCAAGCATCCCATGGATCTCAGTACTGTTAAAGTATGTCCACATTGCCTGCCCGCTTTTGCATGCTGCTTGTTCTGTCCAGCCGGGCAAGCTGTCTGTGCAGCCATCATTTTGTGTTTTCTGTGAACCTTTCTTTGTGGTGCTTAAGAAGTGGGTCACTGGTAACCTACATCAGTTGTTGGTCTAGTATTCTAACCTAGAGCCATTCAGCCCAGCAGGAGGAAAGTATCCCTCTGAATTTGTTGGTCAAGCTATGCTTCAGAATGACAGACCTTCATAATTTTGGCAAATATTCCCATTGCCCTTTTGTGTTGTGTGAGGTTTGTCTGAAATGGTCAGATTCCTAAACGAATGTGTAGACCCACCTGCAGACCTATACTAGAGAGGACGGAAGCCAGTGATGAGCTGTCCTTCAAACCTTCCAGTCTCTCCCCAGATGGCTGATTGTCTGGCTGGTGGACCAGTCACTTGTTCTCTGAGCTAGTAGAGCAGAGCATTGCCGGCACTTACAATAGACCCCCTTTCTGTTGTATATGTAGAGCCCACCAACTAGCCACAAACTCCTTGTCTCCTCCCAGTTAAATTTTATATATATATTTATTATTATGGCAGTGAAATGCCGCCGCAATATGAAGTGTTGTGTAAAGTACCTACCTTTTTATGAAAAATGTCAGAAGTGTTCCGTCTTACTAGGACTTTGAATTTTAGAAACATTAATATTTGTCTACTCATTGCAACGTGCTAAACGGTAGAACGTTCAGTGTTTATTCGTATCAATAATGAGAATACACATGGAGATTGCAGCAGTGCAGAGAGAAAGTGCAAATGTTCAGGAATGGAGGCTCTGTGTGAAATCTCTTCTTCAAGCTGCAAATTATACAAACTGTCGAATGTGGATGCCAGAAAGCTTTCACCCCAGTAATGAAATTTTATATTTTTTTCCCTTTCATAATAAAATCACATTAAAGGCCTACCCATGAGTTCGCTCACAGGGAGTGGAGCGTATGTATGTAGGGGTTGTGTTGTGTTATTGTAGAGGTTCTAATGTGTGTGTGTGTGTGTGTGTGTGTGTGTGTGTTCTTATGGAATGTATAGGGATTACCAGTTTGTGTAAGGGATGTAGTGGGTGTTTGTGTGTAAAGAATGTATTATGTGTTTCTGGGTGTGTTTGTGTGTGTCAGGGATGCATTGTGTGAATCTGTGTATGTAATGTAATGCTGTGTGTCTGTAATGGATGCATTGTGTGCTTCTGTGTATGTGTGCAAGGGCTGCATTGTGTGTGTAAGGGAAGAATGGTGTGTGTGTGTGTGTGTGTGTGTGTGTAAGTAAGGGAAGAATGGCTGCATTGTGTGTGTAAGGGAAGAATGGTGTGTGTGTGTGTGTGTAAGGGAAGAATGGTGTGTGTATGTGTAAGGATGCATTGTGTATGAGTGTGTAGTGTGAAAGATAGGGTTTGTGGGGTAGGATAGGGGCTGAGAGAGGAGCAACTCTTTATTTTTATTATATTTATTTTAATTTTATATTTTCTTACATCCCCCTTTAGGGTATGTCTTACAAGCCCCCTTTTGCATGTCTTACTCCCCCAAGCCCCTTTGTCTGACTCTTTCCAGCTGCTTAGTGTGTCTCTTTTCCCCTAGGCCTCTCTGTCTGTCTCCCCCACCAGCCCTTCTGTGCCTCTTACACCCGTTCCTCAGCCTTTCTGTGTGTCTTACACTCCCTTAGAACTCTCCCCTCATGTCCCTGAGTTCTCTATCCCCCCTCCCCCCGTGTCTTTTAGTGGTCTATCCTCCCCACCAGTGGTCCTTCCTCCTCTCCCTCCCCCCCATCTTTCCCTTAGTGGTCTCCCCTCCTACTCGCCAGCAAGTGTATACCTGAAGTCTCTGATGTGGGTTGTGTGCATTTTCATACTATACCATAATGCCACACTGCATCACGAGTGAATAATTGCACACTGTTCTAATAATTGTGTATCGATACATTTGCAAATAATTTGTCAAGCTGGCTGTTGGCTATAGTTGTGTAACTGTTGGAGAGTAGAACTTGTGTCCTGGTGAATGTACCATGTGCCCTACAGGCATGCAGTTCACAGGAACTTGTAAGCTTGTCTAGTAGCATAGGGCTTGCCTTTTTGAGCATTGCTCAAAATTAATTGCATTATTGCAATATATTTGGGGAAATATGTAAATTCTTCTGATCTGCACTGACTATTTATGAAAAGAAATAAACGTGGGGCAATGTTCCATGTTTAGCATTTTAGCAAAACATTGCCCATGTACACATACTTTGTGATGAAATTCACATGATGGATAACGTTTCTAGAAACCAGTCAATAGGACAAGTTTTTGAATAGGCACTGTAACTGATTCATCTCCTTGAAGTGGTTATTGTGTCTGGAGTCCCCTGGCGCATTGTTTTGTTGGGGGGATGGGCAGTCAAGGTTTACAGGTTATAACTCTAAACAAGGATCCCCAGAAGCCCATTCCCTCTGTGCTGCTAGAACTAGCAAGTAAGAATATGCCTGAGCAACTCTGTCTGTGAGTGTCTGGAATTTTGTCAGCCGATCACCGTGCCCATTGGTATGGCTACGGACCTATATAATCTCTGCTTTAGCTAGGCCTTTCAATAATTGCTGGCCCGTGGGTGGCTGGGAACCGTCATTCAGTATAAACTGCTCAAATGGATTAACACTAAATGAAGGGACAATGGCAGTGGTTTCCAGGCATTATAAACAATTAAATGAGATGAAATGGTTATAGTGCCTGCCGTGTCCTTTTAAGCTGTTTAGCAATGCCCAGATCCAGACTTGTCCCCTCTGCGATTATTCTGTTTATTCCTAATTCTGCGGTTGTGTACCAGAACCTGGTAAACTACCAGTCACCGTGAATCATCAAGTATCAGTGGAAATGAGTAACTCTTATATTTGCTTTTTAATGTCAGAAAAAAATGGACATCCGAGAATACCAGGACGCACAGGCATTTGCAGCTGATATACGGTTAATGTTCTCAAACTGTTACAAATACAATCCTCCTGACCATGAAGTGGTTGCCATGGCCAGAAAGCTTCAGGTAATGGTGTGCTGCTGTATAAAGTTTATTTATTTTGTTTTTTGTTCGTTTTGCGTGGTTTGAGTTCTGTAAAAGTAATTTCTTGGTTGTTGTTTCCAAGGATGTCTTTGAAATGAGATTTGCAAAGATGCCCGATGAACCAATAGACGCCCCCGCTCCACCGCCTACCGCCGCCCCTGTAGTCAGCAAAAGTACAGAGAGCAGCCACACCAGCGAGGAGAGCTCCTCTGATTCCGATACGTCTGATTCTGAAGAAGAAAGAGCCACGCGTCTGGCTGAACTGCAGGAGCAGGTGAGAGACGACACTGAGGTGAATTAAAACAAACTTCTTTTGTAAAACATTTAGATACTGTCTAACACCCAGATCATGGACCTGACTGGAAGTAATAGCAAATTATAGATCTGTCAAAACGTGTCGTCCTCTCTTACATTTAATAACTGTTTTTAGGGATGTGAGAAAAAAACATTTTAAAACATTTTTATTTAAATTTATGTAAAGTCTTATTTTATGAGTTACAATTTTGAAGTTTTTATTTGATTTATCATTTATCTAAACAGTCTGTGCTTTTTATATATTTTTTTCCCCCTTACTCTTGCATTAAACTGTTTAGATCTTTTTGTTATGTTTTCATTTTGTCTCAGTCCTCTCCCTATGGGTTCTAAGTCTGATATTGTGTTGAGGGATTGGCCTTAATTTCTAACCAGTAGAACTGTGGATTCAGTTTGCTCATATTTAACTTTGGTTGTCTTTCCCACCGTAGAGGTTTTTTTTTTTTTTTTGTTTTTTTATTAGCCTTTTTTATTTTGGATAGCTGCAATCATGGGGTTTTCGCATCCACTCTTACACAGGAAAAGCAGCTCAAAGGTTTAATTTAAAAAAAAAAAAAGAAAAAAGAAACACACACGTTTGTTAATGCAAGACCTCAGTCCTTCCCACTAGAAAATTTAATTTAGAACAAGCCCAAAACTCCCCATGTTCTGCCCTCATGAGGACATCACTAGGTCACCCACGTTTTACTGTTGTTTTGGCTGCAGTGATGGGGTCACGGGTGCCTCTCCCTCGGCTCTTCGGTTTCCATTAGCCTGTATTTCCGAATGCTGGGGACATGCAGCTCTCTCAAGATCTGAGTAGGAACAGGAACTTTTATGGTTTTATTTGAAGTCTTTAAATCTGCGTTCCTTATTAAACCTGTTCCATGCTGTTCGTTAAGTCACGGTTATAGGATCTGGAGGGAGTCTATCTAGCGCCCTCTACCTCTGTTTGGAGTGCAACATCATTTGTGCATGATGGGAGTTAGTCGAAAAGAATTGGGCAAACTAAATAAGACTCAAGACCATGCTTGTGTGCATTATACAACTGATACTTGATGCTATTGAATGGTCTGTTTGACATGCAATATTGTCTTGCAAATATTTTTCTTTAAAGTTTCAAAGCCTCTTAACAAATGAAAATATTGTGTCAAAACTAACATCACTAACATTCAAACAAAACTAACATTCATAACGTTTTGATCTATATTAACTAGTAATCTAATCTACTAGAAAGAAATGGAAATGCAATTTTAAAATTGTACATAAACAATGTATATAGGTGTATATATCCATCTCAAGGCTTTTGGGATTGTCACTGTTGAGCAGTGGTGTCCAAAGGACATCCTTAAATCTGACCGAGCATATTGTCACATGGAGCTATCTTTTCAGCACCCCTGCTATTGGAGATCTTTTGGGCAGAAATTGGATGGTGCATTTGTAAGAGTTTGTTTTGCAACTTGTATTACTGCTTAATCATTTATTAACTAGTTACATTTTCTGATGGAGTGTGGATTTTGCCCTTTTTACAAATTTTGCAATAAATTTGTCTGTAGTAAGCCGGGTTCTGTATCGGTAGGTACTTTCTGACTGTCTACTGACTTACAATCCTTTGCTACTTACCATAAAAGGTGGCAAATCACAAACCCTTTTTCTTAGAAAAGTCCCAATCTAGAGCATGTGTTCTCATCAATGTGAGTTGCAGACAGGCTGGCTTGGTGATGCCACATGCAGTTCTCCTAACTTGATGTTGCCAGTTGAACGTTGACATTGAGTAGGAGATTGAGTTTGGAGGTTATCCAGTAATTAACTTATTCTAGCAATTTATGCTATCGGTCTAATGTTTCACCAGTTAAAAGCGGTGCACGAGCAGTTGGCTGCACTGTCACAGGCTCCGGTGAACAAACCAAAGAAGAAGAAAGAGCGGAAGGAGAAGGAGAAGAAAAAGGAAAAAGAAAAGGACAAAGAGAAGGAGAAGGAAAAGGAAAAAGAGAAGCACAAGGTGAAGAATGAGGAGGAGAAAAAGATCAAACCTGCTCAGCCGGCAAAGCCAGTCCCGCCCAAGAAAGCTCCTGCGAAGAAGGCAAACAGCACGACCACCACCACATCCACCAACACCACCACCACAGCTACCACCGCCACCTCCAACAGGTTGGTGTCTGTCCATGCCACTGGTCAAACGTTTAAACTTTTTTGGTGGAACTAGCCAGTTGTTGATTAAAGTAGCATTCAAAGCACCATAAACACTACAGCCTGCTGTAAAGATTATGGTGTCCGAAGTCTGCTGGCCCCTACCCAGTGTTAAGAGTCAAACAATTTGCAAGTTCTTTGGTTCCCCGGCTCTTTGTACTCTAGTCTGAAGCCTACTTTGTGACAGCTGGAGTTCCCCTTCAGCAATATAAATTCTGCTACAGTAGGGTCAATAAGTATATAGTGTGTTTGTATATCTGTATATCTTTCAGTAGACGTAGGTGCAATAAATACAGTAAGTGTACCTTGTATGCATGTTTTATTTATATAGCACTTTACATTAGAGGTTACAGGAGAGACAGATCAGTAAGTGCAGAAGTTGTTTTAGCTGATTCGGTTTAGGTGGGTATATTTGTCTCCCTGTCCCAATATGCTGTATGATTGGGAACTTTATGCAAGTCTCACCTTTATAATGGACACTGTAGGCATTGTAACTAATCTCATGTCATTTAAGTGGTTATAGCGTCTAGAGTCCCTTGGCGCTTTCCTTATGGCTAGAAGGAAGTGTGTAATATCTGCCTTATCCATACCTCTAGTAATAGCTGGGCTGTGGGTGGCTAGGGACCCTTATTCGGTGTTAAACCATTTCCAAACAGTTAAACACTAAATAGAGGGACAGTGCCAGAGGACTCCGGGCACTAGAACCACTTCAATGAGATGACATGGTGATAATGTCTACAATGTGCCTTTTTAGGAGCATAAAAATAGGGAATGTGTGTTAGGCTGCCCATAGAGAGCCTTGGCAGAAGGGTATAAACTGTAGCTGTTGTGTAATCATTTCAGGTTCAGGAGGTTTGGAAATAAAATTATGAATAAAACAATTTACCTAAAATGTTAAGTAAATGTCTTTTTAATTACATATCTAGAGAACATGAATTTAAACATCAATCTATGGATAGATGTATTTAAGGTCTAATTTAATTATTTCTTTTCCTCTCCCCTAACGCTAGCAAGCCACCTAAAAAGGGAGGGAAGCAACCGCCCACCGCCCCTTATGATTCTGAAGAGGAAGAGGAGGGATTACCCATGACCTACGACGAGAAACGTCAGCTCAGCCTAGACATTAACCGGCTCCCAGGAGAAAAACTGGGCCGAGTAGTTCACATAATACAATCCAGGGAACCATCCCTAAGAGACTCCAATCCCGATGAGATTGAAATTGATTTTGAGACCCTAAAGCCTACCACTCTGCGAGAACTGGAGCGATACGTCAAATCGTGTTTACAAAAAAAGCAGAGAAAACCATTTTGTAAGTAGTTTTCTTTATTTCCACATTATTATAATTTTTTTATATTTATATAGTATTTTTATTTTTTTAAATTTTTTTTTTTTTTTTTTTAACCATGCACATTGAGATCTCATTAAACTAGTTTTGTCCATGGGGCAGTAGCCTATTTAGTAATTGTACCCTACACCAAAAATTCAACCTCCATTGAAATGGTTTAGCATCAATCAAAATGACTGAGTCCCTGTTTGAGCCTCCAGTTTACAAGCAATGATATCTTTAAAGGGAATCGCATACAATTATTTTATGTATTTGTTTACTTTATTTTAAATCAGGGTAACCATTCTCTCTTCAAGAAGGGAAATGAAGATGAAAAACGTAAAGTAAAGCTGCATTTGAATAAACGTACAAGGGTTCTGTTTATAACTTTTTTTTTTTTTTTCTGCTAAATTTTCCTCCTATTACGGAATCTGCCAGGCTTCTTTAGTGGGTGTTATTCTTGCAGGCACGCTATAGAAAAGAAAAAAAAATGTGATATTGCATATTACCTGATCTGCTTTATTGTATTCTAAAGACTAACATTTGTGTACAGTTGTCAAATAAAAGTACACCTTCCCAGCTGAGTTCTTGATGAACTTGCACGAAGATTGCTCAAACCAAGAGTCAGGTGGGGGTAAACTGTCTACCTGTTTTTGCAAGTATAGTAACGAGCCCCATTCCAGCATTAGCTGACTAAATCAGACAAATCTTTCTTTAGGAAATAGTTTTATTTACAAAAAAAAAAAAAATTATTAAAAAAATGACTATTTTCCTGTTTAGCTAATTGTGTTTTTTTTTTTTAATTTGTAACAAAACATAATGGGTATTAAAATGTGACGTAGCGTTTAAAAATAAATAATAATTAAAAAAATAAATATATATATTATAATGTATATTTGACATTTTTAACATGTTACAAAATAATAGGGCATCCATATTTTTGTTGTTAAACTTGGGGGACGTTGGGGGTGAGGCATTGTTTTATAAAGTGATGTATAAATCTAGAAATCAGAAAAACACTTTAAAAAGATCATATTGTCAAACAAAATCTTATATTTTATCAAAATGAGTTTGGACATTTGTATTTTTATCTGATATTGTGAAACGTTGCTAAATAATTATGGTTGATGATGCTATAATCAAATGATTGGGGAAATGGTAGGGGTCTCAATGATCATTCCCGTATACACAGCCCTGATGCTGGATATAATACTATCGGGGAGATTTATCAAAGTATCTCTGCTTTCCCCTCTTATATTTGCTGCCTTTTAAAATTTGTAGGATTTGTTTTTAATTTTATTTTTTGCTGATGTAACGATTTTATCAAGATTTCCACGAGTGTCAGACTTTTTTTCACCACTATATAAATTTGGCGGTCTCTTGAAATGGGAATTTCTGTGAAAACTTACTAAAAAGGAAACCGTCACTTTAAGGAAAATAGTGAGATTTAACCACCCCTTTTCAGAACGCTTTGGTAAATATCCCCCGGTATGCTAACATGAGTGAATTGTGCTTTCCTATAAACACCTCTTTATATTATTGTAACATTGTATATACAAGTTAGTTGGCCCCAATTAAAGGGACACTATAGGCACCAAAACAACTTAAGCTTAATGAAGCCGTTTTGATGTATAGATCATGCCCCTGCAGTCTCACTACACAATTATCTGCCATTTAGGAGTCACACAGCCTGCATGAAAAAATTTTCATTTTCAATCTTATGTGACAGCACAGTGTTAACTTTAGAAGTTTTCATCTGCTGCTTTGTTAATCGAACTTTAGTCACACTACTGAAGGCTCTTAACATAAAATAATACATTCTAAATTAAACAGACTGTGCAACAAAGGTAGTTTAAATAATTAGATCTCTTTGCTGCAAGTGTTTAGGAAGGCTGTGCATGTTACATGCAGAGCAGTTTGACTAGGGCTGTATAAAATAAGTGATTTAACTCCTAAATGGAGCGAATTGAGACTGTGAGGGCATGAACTATACACCAAAACCACTTCATTAAGCTAAAGTTGTTTTGGTGACTATAGTGTCCCTTATATGTATTACATAGAAAATTAAAATCGTATCCTTTTGCAGATGTTTATTTTCCGTGTTTGTGGATATCTCTAAGCCAGTGTTAGCCATCCTAATTTCAGTAAAAGTACTGAAAATCTAAAACGCCCTTTCAGAAGAGGGTTGTTTGGTTTTTGTTTTTTTGTTTTTTTGGTTATATAGTTAAACACATTTCCATTCATCAGAAAACATGGATAGTGACAGCTGATAGCAGCTATATTGTGGCTCCATTTGTGGTTGCATGAATGGAGCTATAGAGGCAAGCACATTACCCGTCCGGAAGCTGTCAGTGATGATGGAGATTCTTATAATGTGTGCCTACCCCAGGAATATACTCCATACAAATAGTGTGTATCACAAGTTTAGGCTTATATTTCCCACTATCACCCAGAGTAGGGGTAGGCAACTTTGAGCACTCCCAATGTTGTGGACCACATCTACCATGATGCCTTGCCAGTATTATGTTACCTATGTAACCTGTTCTAGCTGTTGTAGAGTACCTCGTTTTCGAACTTTCAAGTTTTGTTTTTGAGAAATCTTTTACTGTGCTGGAAATCCCTCCAGTACAAAGTGTAATCCAAAGCATCTATTGTGGTACACATTCCCCTCTAATTTTACTTTGCATGAGTAGCGTTTTAGAATTAGATATCGGTGAAGTTTTTATCAGAGAGCATGGAGTTTCTTTCCTACAAATAGAGGAAGGCTGTAGGATACACAATAAGTCTTTCTTTGCACCCAGATTAGCACATGCCTTGGTAAATATCCCTATGGAGATAATATTGGTTTCCATGGTGATTTATTCCTTTTATATATTTAAGGGAAACTATCACTATTGTATTTTTTTAGTTTGTTCTCCCTCCCCCCTTTTAAATTTTAGATACAGGGGACGGGACAAAGGCAAATGACCTGATAATCCAGCACGGCCAGAGCACACATTGCTTTGGAGGAGGAGAATCAACCACCGTTTTTTGTTTCTCCTCTTCTGCCTATTCTGAAAGTCAGGTGCAAAGGACAGCACGTATAACAATGATTGGTAGGGTGCAAAGATGAAGGATTTATAAATTAAATTTTTTTTTTTACCACAAAAACACATTTTATTTAATATAGGGGATGAGTAAACATGGGATAAATAAAAATTGGAAAGTGACCGTTCCCCCTTAAAGACTCAAGCAGCATCTCCCCTCTAACAAATTGTTACATTCTCCACTGCAGGAGCCAACACTTTAAAAGCATTTGAGACCCAGAATGTAAGGAGCAGACCATAGTACACTCAACATGATGTGCACCCTTCACATGGACCAGAAGCATAGTCTTTTTTTGCGAGTGCGTGGTTGTAGCCTGCTCCCCTCTCTTATTTGACAAATGTGTGTTGGCTGAAGAGGTTCATAAAGATAGTGGCTTCATGAAGTGGAAGAATGTGTGTGTATATATGCAAGCTGTATCCAATATATTGAAAATAGTGTGTAGAAAGCCAAACCCGCACCCCATAGTGTCCTGTTAAAGCTATTTTAGGTATCCTTCTATGATGAAACATTTTAACTTGTCTATTTTGTTCCCTTTTTTTTTTTTCCACAACACAGCTCCTGGCAGCTGGTCCAGCTACCCATCTGCGGTGTCACCACACTCCGCTGTGCGAGGCCATAGTGATGTCACGCACCCCTCCCCATTATCCTCAAGGAGGCACGTGATCTCACGGAGGCCAAACACCTGGCGGAGCGAGGTGACATCACCAAAAAGTAGGTGTAACCATTGACTTGTGTGGTAGCGGGTTTAGACAATGATTTGGTGTGTTTGTGCAATGGGGGGGAAGGGGTTTATGGGTTGTGGGGGGTTTTTTTGTTTTTTTTTTATTTATTTTTTATTTTTTGTTTCTTGGGTTTTTTTTCTTTTTGGTTTTGTCTTTTCTTATACATATATAATTCAGAACCTTGATTGTGTCACAAAGACAAATGGAATAAATACATTCTAATGTTCTTAAAGAAACATTTTCAGAATGAAAGTCATTAATTCTTCAATAAAAATTAAATAAATAAAACAAATTGTGTGACCATCAGTGGTTCAGCCATTTTGATTTGATCCACATCCACTTGAACAGATTCAAAATTCTTTAATTGTGGCCTGTTGGTGTGTTGAGATCTTGAGATGAATAAATAATTTAACGGTTCTGATAATTTAACAATAAAGGGCACTGAATGTATTTTGGCTTGTCGCTGATCGCTGAACTTTCCCCGCAGCATCGGGGAAGAAGCAAGCTGTAAAGTCCAAGGAGGAGTTAGCTCAGGAAAAGAAAAAGGAGCTGGAGAAGAGGCTCCAGGACGTGAGCGGTCAATTAAATAACAAGAAACCTACAAAAAAAGGTACAGTTTGAAAACCCATACTGGGTACATTTAAGGGGACTAGACTTCCCCTTTAACCTAGGATGCTCATTAAAACCTTCTGCCTGGTGGAGTTTTATGTACTGAGTCAGTGAATGTGTATTCTCTTGCTTTTGGCTAACATTTCCATAATTCTCTGCCTCACAGAGGGACATGGGAGTTGTAGTCCAAAGGCTGACCTGAAGTTGGTAAATCAGGATCTTGAATAACCATTTGGGGATTTCTGTAATATTACGCACTTTCTTGTTAATTCAATTAATTTAAAGGCTTAAAGATCAATGAGCAAAAATCAATGAGTTTTTTTTTTTTTTTAACCAAATTTTTTTTATTTAATGTCCTGTAGAGGGTCTATTCCAAAAATAAATATATTTTCAAACATTTCAACCTAAAATTTTATTTATAAATTTATTTTGTGTGTGTGTGTAATCTATATAGGTATGTAATTTTAAAGCCATCTTGCACAGCATTTTATTTTAAAGTAAAAAAAAAATGTACAAATGTTCCAGGGTCGTACAGTGCAATATTGAAGGTTGCAGGGATTCTACTTATAGGAGAGTACTTTTTTTTTTTTTATGTATTTATTTTCTAATACTTTATGTTGTGATTTTAAATGTGTCTTTATTTTTTGATTATCAATGATCTTGGTTCAATGAACCAGTGCTCGAAAGTAATCTTAATATTTTCATGTGTATCACTTTCTAAAATAAGAGATTCCCTTTAAGAATACCATAGGCTTGTAGACCAGGAGTAGAGGGCAAAGTGTAATATTTTGTAGATTTAAGATCCGTACAAGTATTGGCAAAACTCCACATCAAAGTCAGAAGCATCAAAATGTCATTGTTTGTGGGGTTTTTTTTTTTTTTGTTTCCCATGTTTTAAGCATGCCTTTTTATTTTATTTTGCAAAATTAGTTTTAAACATTCTGAGTTCTGTCTGAACATGCTGCCTGTCTGCTTTCTTTTTTAGAAAAATCCAGTGCGTCTGGAGGTCCTTCCCGACTCAGCAGTAGCAGCTCGTCCTCCGAATCCGGCAGCAGCAGTTCGAGCGGCTCCAGTTCAGACAGCAGCGATTCAGAGTAAATTTTGGTTTCCATCAATATGGACTTTATGCACACAAGACCATACATCTATCCAATGTTTCCATCAGAGGCCCATAAAAACAGTTCACTTTTTCGTGTGCCGTTTTAAAAACAAAAAAACACAAAAACTTAAAGACAAGATTCATTCTATTCCTCTATCCACTCTGTTTTTTTGTATTTTATTCTAAAGAAAAAAAATGATGCGATCGCAGAATTTTTCCAATAGGGCAAAATGGTGCCAGCAATAACCAACTACGCAAAAGGCACCATTGCTTTTATTGGATTTTATGAAGGTTTTACTTTGCAGAAACATAAAAAGCTTTTTAAGATTTTTATTTATTTTAAATTTTGTCACTGATTTGGCCTGTGGGTGTCTTTTTGGAAAGGAACTTTTATCTTTAAACGCAGGCTCAAAATAGCCCAGTATAATGTTTTCTCTCTTCTCTATTTTATACCAGCCCTAGATTTACATTGTATGTTTCACATGGTACTTTGACACAAAGGACACCCTGCCTTGTAACGAAGTAGGTGATTCTATAATTGTACCTAGAATTATTAATCAGAATCTACACTAAATGAAAATGTTATATGGTTTTTTTCCCCCAGTTTAAACTAAATATGGACAACTCTGCTGAAGGCATGGATAAGTAATTATTCTACAAAGAATATTTTGTTGCATTTTGGGATTGGGACATATTATTTTTATTTTTATTTTCTCTATGTAAAAAAAAAGAAAAACCACAATTTTTTTTTTTTTTTTTTTACATAATGCAGCAAAATATCATTTCATGCATATTTTATTTCCTCCCTTTTTACCATTATCTGAATAGCCTAAAGTATTTTAGTATTTTTATCCATACATCGATGTCTCTCTCTTAATCGCTTTGAATATCAACCTCAAAATAAATGTCAAAGAACATGGACAAGAACCAAATTCACACTGCCTCCGTAGTATTCCTGGTGAATAAAGCTCTGTTTGAGGCCTCCTGTTGCTAGAGGCAGAGGGTTTTTTTTTGTTTTGATTTTTTTTCCCCCATGTTAACACACCTCACCCCTTTCCACTCCAAATTTAAAGCTGTTACAATTTTAAAAAGTGTAAGAATTGTCAATGGTGAAAATCCGCAACATTTTTAAATTAAACTTTTTTTTAAATTTTTTATTATTTTTATAAACTCTCAATTCTAGAAGTGCTTAGGAAATCTTTTTTGAATTGAATCCTTCTGAATCTTTTCGATCTTACGTTACAAATAGAATTCTCGTGATTTCCAGTCTGGTTTTAGGAGGTACAAGAGACATGCGATCTGCCTCTTCCAACATTGACCGTTTGTGTAATGATATAGCAATTTGAGTGACCACCTACAAATATATATCCACAAGACAGATATGTGCATTCTAAGTTGCATAGAAACATTTACGCACATGGTGGTTTAAAGGCAAAAAAACAAGCTGTCTGTGTTTTATAGTTCAACGTTATTAATATAACTCGGTGGAAAGGCAGCAAGATAGTTCAGTAGGTTAATACTCTGAAGCCTTCAGGTGGCACAAAGCTCACACAGTCCAATTTAATTCCCAGGGAGTCCATTCAACCGGACATCAAAAGTGGTACAATTAAATTGAATAACCGAACCAGTGGTTTCTATGGTGCTTTGGTAGCCCTGACTGCTCTTTAAGAGCCACGTATTTTAATTCAATGAAGAGCGTTTCTTACGGTTATTGTCTTATTAGAGTTGGGTGCTAAAAGTAGATTCTCAAATTCGAAGCTTATTCCATACTTTAAATTTAAACGGACAGCCATTGTAGAAATTTTTTTTTTTTATTTTTTTTTTTATTTTTTTTTTATATATATAATATGTATAGAACATATGAATGGCCTATGTTTGCTTACTTAAGGTGAGGTTCTCCCTTGTCTAATTCTGGTGCTTTTTTTTTTTTTTTGTGTATTGTATATCCTGTTCTTTAACCCCAAAGCTGCAGCAAATTGTATACTTGTATACATTTTATTAACTTGTCTCAAATACCCACAAATATTAAAATAAAAGCTTAAAATTGATAAATAGGGAAATCCAATTTTACTAGTACACAAAAACAATGTATAGTGGTTTTTCTCCATTTTAATATAAATTACACAATTTAGGCAACGGTCATTGCATTTTAAAAATCTTTAGTATTGACTGATCTTTTTTTAGGCTTTGCCAGATTTAAAGGGGTGCTGGGGAAATTGTAACCTTGTGTTTTGGGATATGTTTGTTTTACTTGTGGGATTATTTTTTATTTTTATTGTTTGTTTTAATATCTAATTTTTTTAAATTTTTTTTTTTAAATCTATAAGTATATTACCTGTATTTCAAAGTTAGACTATTGCTCTGCTGTGTATTTTAGTCTTTTTAAGCCAGTATTTAGTAGAAGTCAGATTGGTTGCAACATACTACAGACATTTTAATTTTATTTTTTAATAGAATGTGTCAGTTTTTGCATCTTCCAACTGCTAAATTGCTTAATGGTCCGTTTCAACAAAGTTCATTTTTGTTTATTTTGCAAAATATGTCTGGGCTAGACCTATATTAATTATTATTATTTTTTTATATACATTAAGCATAAAATTTGGCATGGGTGATATGCTGTGGTCATGTGTTTTAGCTAAAACTGAATTAAAGTAACAGTAAATATCTTTATGAAAGCTGCAGACAAATATTTGACATCTTACTTTTCTATGTTGTTAGTGAAACAAACATGATCTGACCTCATAGGCCTCCTGAATATATTAATATAGATTTTTTTTTTTATTATTATTATTATTTTTTTTTTTTTTTAATAAGCTATAGAATTTTGCCTTTGTGTTGATAAAGAGGGGAGCAAATTCAAGTGTACAGGATTCTAATTTAGGACTTCCTATCACTTTAAGGGTGTTAGAACTTGGTTCTAAACATACTTTTTCTATAGAAGTGTAATGAACAACTTAACTAAGCCATATAAACTACAGACCTAAATATCTGCCATAACATATTGGATCTCCTTGGTCACCATTCTCATTCTGCATTTCTGACCTTGAATATGTCATTATGAAAAACATCATAACATTTTATTCCCATCATAATTTTAGATTTATTTTGGGATGGGAGGTGAGAAATATGTCTACACTATTTAAAACTAATTCTTTTCCAATTAATCTTTTTTTTTTTTTTTTTGCCTATATCAGCTGCTTAATTATTGGCCAAACTATCAGATAAAATATATTGTATAGACCCATCGCACACAAACCTGTGATTGCTTGTGTGAATCAAGTGAAATGTGTTGTGCTAGTGAATTCACCAGCAGATTACTTTACACACAGATCTGTTTATATCTGCTGTTTACTACTGCCAAATGTGTACTCATCAACAGGGTGGCCCAAATGGTAAGACCTCAAATGTTGTTGTAGTTCTAAAACCCGAGGATCTTCATTTTGTGCACCCCTGATTTATAATCTATTTTAATGATCACTTGGGGTGGAATTTAAAATATTGGCATATTACAGTTAAAAAAACAAAAAAAAAACATAACCAGCACTTATGGGAAAAAAATCTAATTTTAATACAAAATGATGTATAAATTGGGAGATTTATTTTTAGCTCACTACTGCATGAACCTACCTGCTTTGTTTGTGATATTTTTCACATTACCTCAGCTGTAATCTGCTTTAAATCAAGAAGGCTTATTCCATATTTATTTTACAGATCTATTTTTTTTTGGTTTCTGATCTACAGACCCTGTATATAATATTACAGTAATTATACACTTATAGCAAGTCAACATTTATCTGACGTTCCTTTACTTGTGGGTTTTATCCCTAAAACGTGAGATGAGTCAAAAAGCTTTTTTTTAATCCTGAATAATCGTGGAAATTTCACACTAATCTCATCTGTATTTGGTGCATAAACTCCTTTTTGGATGTGACAGATAATTAAACCGGAGTAACTGAAATATTTTTATAACCGTTTTAATGAACATATTTGTTTATAAGGCAACTGCATCACCTGTAATTATAACACATGTTACCGGTGGAACATCATTTCAAAACCTTTCCAGTCCAATAATAATTAGTAGGATATGTGTAGTATAAGGACATTTTTATTCTGAATACAGAAGATGCACTGTGCGGACAACCATTGTTGGGCATATACTAGATGATCCCTCAGTTGTTTTTTTGAGGGTGAAAGGGGTATTTTTCATGATAGATATTTTTCATTTCTGTTAAATGTCTCCCACCACATTATTTTTTTTTAATATAAATGAAAACCAGGTTAAAGCCTATATTCCAGCCCCTCCTATTTAACAAACTCTATTTGATGTTTTCTTTTGTTCAACTCTGCTCAAAGAAATGTGTGCCACCAGATTTTGTCACCCCAGTACAACTCTATCGATAATATCCTACACTATAATAGGCACAGCCTTTGTATGCATCCCCTGTCCTTATTTAAGAACATGTTGGCTATTGGGTAATGTCAGTAAATTAAGGCATTCAAAAAAGGAATACATTTGTAAAGAATTTTTTAATTTTTTTTTTATTCCCTTCTGAATTTAGTCTCTCCCCCTTGTGATTTAATAACACATCTTGTATCAGACGATCTTTAAAATCTATGAAAGAATGCCACTTTAGAAAGGGGGATTTTTAAAATTGTAATGCAGAACATGTCCAAAAAATTGAGCCTTTAATAATGGGTAAAAAAATATATATATTTTGTTTTTATATATACTTCAAAATGCAGTGTACATGGTTGAAGAAAAATCCTTTAGCGGACTCAATATAGCACTAAATAGAACCATTTATATTAAGGGACATTAAGTTGTAAATGTGTAGAATTGTCACAAAGGCAGTTTTTATACTGGTGTATATTGTGCACATTATTTTCTTTTCCTTTTTCATATTTCTTCTCCTAAAATTTACACCACACTAGTCTTTAAGAGACGTTTAGCCTTTTTGGTTTTCTGGGGGTTTTTTTTGTTTGTTTTTTTGTTTTTGTTTTTTTTATTTCTCTGCCAATTAGGGCTGCTACAATCGGGAAGAAGAAAAAAATAAAGCAATTAACAAAAATGTATCTAGCCCCTCTGTAAAATGTCAGTTGAGATCATGCTATAAAATGCATAACTTTATTTTTTACAATGTTTCTTTTATCTCTGATGTGCATGCAAGTTTACTGTAACTTTTTCTCAAGATTTTTAGTGCTGTCCATAGTATATTACTGTATATGTCAGTTATATTGATAACAAGTCAATGTAAGTAGTTAGCTTGTTTATTGCAATGCTGGCCTCAACACAACATTATGAAAAGAGAAAAAAAAAATCTTAAAGGTAGAAAGTACTTGTTGTTCTGATAATTATTAGCCTTAAAGGGCATTTTTGGTTTTTTTCATAATAAACAAGTGGAAAAAACCCTTGGTCTTCTGTGTGATTTACTATTTTATCTCTGTGATTATCGGATGCTATATATACTAAATATTCATTTAAAATGATCTATTTATAAATTTTTATCATTTTTCACTACAGAAAAAAACCTTTAGGGTTATGCATTAAAGGACTACTATAGGCACCCAGACCACTTCAGCTTAATGAAGTGGTCTGGGTGCCTGGTCCAGCTAGGGTTAACCCTTTTTTTTTTTTTTAAATAAACATAGTTTCAGAGAAACTGTTATGTTTATAATAGGGTTAATCCAGCCTCTAAAGCCTCTAGTGGCTGTCTCATTGACAGCCGCTAGAGGCGTTTGCGTGCTTCTCACTGAAAATCAGTGAGAAGACTCAAGCATTATGAATGCTTTCCTATGAGACCGGCTGAATGCGCGCACAGCTCCTGCCGCGCATGCACATTCAGCTGAAGAGGAGAGCTCCCCGCCCAGCGCTGGAGAAAGGTGAATGTTTAACCCCTTCCTCTCCCCAGAGCCCGGCGGGAGGGGGTCCCTGAGGGTGGGGGCACAAGTATGTTTTCCTGGCACTAAAGTGGTCCTTTAAACTGTGAATTGTAATAAAATGAAATTGAAATAATGATGGCTTGCCTATTTAAGCTTGAACATCAAGTTTGATAAATCTGCTATTTTGGCTTGGGTTTGGTTTTTTATTTTTTATTTTTAACTAATTTTTACTGTTTATAAAAACTTCTACACAAGCAAAGGGCGGTAATGTGGCCTAGCCTTTTCCAAAACCATCACTACAAAGGCTAGATTTTTTTTTTTTTTTTTTTGGTTACAAAGCTAAGCAAAATTATGTTTAGAAAAGGGAACAATGTCAGCCTCTTTGATTCAATGCCAGTATTCCCCTATTCTAAATGTATTATTCAGTCCTGTGGGATTGAAACCTTGTAAGGTCCAAAGTACAATCCTGGAGATACATGGTCCAGTAACCACTACAGAGCTCGGGTGATTTATAATAAAAAAAAAAAACACTCCGTTAATTAAGCAGAAGTCTTTTAATAGTTCACTGATTTCTAATCAAATTCTATTTGTGTGATTTTTGGTGTTTTCAGACAGTCAAAACACATGGTTTGATTTTTTTTTTTTTTTTCTGTCTCATATTTCTAAAATATATAGTTGAAGGCATATGTTACTTTTTTTTTTTTTTCGTTTTTCCATTTGTTATCGTATATCTCCCTTTTAGTTGCTGGTTGTATCTATCACATCGTTCTTAAAGTGGCTTTATCAGGTGTAAGGTATCTCTGATTTTGCAAAGAACCCGACGCTGACATGATCCTTTCATGATGGGCAGCAAGCCCTTCTGGCGTCTGTACTTTTCAGCTCCTCGCAGATGAAGTTGGAGTACATAGCAAAGCTGGGTCTATAGAAAATCACTCCAGAGAAGAGGAATGGAGGAAATCTCTGTAATCAAACTGATTTTTTTTACCCTTTTGAAAAAAGATGGGGGGAACGTTGTTTGGAATTACCTTGTTTTCAGTACCCTCTCTTTCAATACTGATGGAATATGACTGTTTATGCTTAGAATTTTTAACATGATGAATAAGCCCCACAACTAACAAGTTAAGTTCTGTTCAATGTATAGTGTTGTTTTACAAGTTTGTACTTTATACCGTCTTTCCTTCCCCCTATTCACACCACCACCCTTACTGCTGATCTGCCTAGTAACCGCAGTAAAAGTCCAAACTAATCACCCTCTCTATACATTAAGACAAAGTGTAACTATCTGATTGCATAAAGCATAAAAGCACGCCCTGTTAAAGAACACAATATAACCTGTGATGTGGAATAAAATGTTCAAGATGTCACTTTGAATAACTTCTGTCTGTGTGTGTCATGGTGGCCTCACCAGTCCTGCTAAGAGATTGCAGGACAAACCAGAGATTGCTAAATAACATAGAATTCCATGGCAAAAAAATGGTAATTTTTTTTTAAAGAAATCGAAATTTTGTTCTAACAAAATACACATATAGAATATAAACATTTTTATTTTAATATATTTTGCAATATGAAATCTAGTCCATAAAGCCTTACTCATCCTTTTTACACTAATTACCACCCTGTTAACTAATAGATTTTTCTTTCAGAAGCCACCAATATAGTGCATGCAAACTTTTTGATGTCTTAAATTTTTTATTGAGTTGTTTTTTCGTTTTCATAATATAGTCATCTTATATGAAAAACATAAAGAGGGATGGTAGGGTACAGAAAACAAGGGGGGGGGTGGGGGTGCGGGTGATACATAGGTAGATCCATACAGGTTATCTGACAACGCAGGTCAGAAATTACAGTTCAAGTTCAGTTCAAATTCAAGGTACATCTTCAAAGTGCAAAATTCAAGTACCAAGTACAAGTGCATACATGAGGTACAGTTGTTGCATGTATAGTGGCGTAGAGAATGGGCAATGTAGGTTATTTAGTGGAACCTTTGGGTGGTGCCTAGGTCATGATGGTTGAGGCTTTGGAAAGCATTATTTCATATCGACATGCGCTGTTTATGTCAGTTGTTGGGTAAGGGTGTGTTGCTGGCCTAAATAGCTAAAGCTAATCAAATACCCGAACTCTATCTAATACGGTTTGCTAGCCAAGCATGATGAATTCTCAGTCTGGCTACTTCTGTGGGATGTTTTATCGATTGTGTATCTAGGTTACTAGTTGCCTCTTTATCTGGCTTGTTTACTAAAGTGGATTTTTGCACTCATGGGTAGACAGTTGTGTGAGATTGTGTAGGTGACCATGGGTTACTACGGTGAGGCGTAGATTCACCGGGGTCCTAAAGTGGTACTGGGTTTGATCTCTAGGTCCCTGGTTGGTCCCTAAACTGTGCCCATCTTTGCCACTGCCTGGTGTAGATATGTTCCTTGTTTCGAAGGCGGCTAGCCATTCGTTCGAAGTTGCATGTAGTGTCGATGCGTGTTAGGACTTCTGTTAATTTTGGGCTTTGCTGTTTCCACCTGTGTGCTATTGCTGTTTTGGCGGCGAGTAGGCAGTGGGTGAGTATGTGTAGTTCATCTTCCCTGGGTGAATGAGGGAAGATGTGAAGTAGGTAGCATTCTGGGGATTTCGGAGCAATTATTTTCATCTCTTCCGAGAGGAACTGCTCAATTGCGTCCCAGAATATGCTTATTATCGGGCATGTCCAGAATACATGAAGTAGTGTGCCTACTGTCTTTTGGCATCTCCAGCACATGGGGGACGTGTTGGGGTAGATATGTCCTAGGCGTGAAGGAACCATGTACCATCTCATTAGTATTTTGCAAAACGCCTCCCTGTGGGCCAGGCTATATGTGGTTTTCCTTATCCTACCCAGAGCCTTCCTCCACGTATCTTGGCTGATTTGTGTTTGGAGATCCTTCTCCCAGGAGCTCATATATAAGGGAATTTCCTTGTCCGCTAGATTCATGAGAGAGGTGTAACAGAAAGATAATGCTTTAATGCCTTTTAGTTTTCCTTGACACTTAAGGAGGAATCGTGGTGGTGGTAATTTTCTGTCTCTATGTAGTTTGTGAGCATGTAGTATGTTTTTAATGCGTAGGTATGTGAATAGTTCCTTAGACGGGAGAGTGAATGTCTGTTGTAGTGTTGGGAAGGGTGTTACTCCCGCATCATCAATCAAGGAGCTCACATTGAGAATTCCCTTTCGTACCCAGATGTCGAGGCATAGATCATGTGTGTGGAGTGATAGTGATTGTAAGGGCGCGGCGTGTAGGAGGTCTCTGCCTATATCCAGTTTTACGATCGACTGTCTCCATATATGGAGCAGTAGTTTCGTTGGGGGTAGGTTATTGGCGACCTGTAGCTGCCTGTCCGAGCACGCCCACAGGGCGTCTACCACTGTTCCTTTTGTCATGCAGGCATTTTCTAATGCCAGCCAGATGGGGGTTGCTATGCCCTCCAGTATCGTGAGGCCCTGTGCTAGTATTGATGCTTTATAATAGAGCTGAATGTTGGGCACACTAAGGCCTCCTTCCGAAATGGGTCTCCAAATCAATTTTTGGGAGACTCGGGGAGGTTTTCTCTTCCAGATATGTGCGTTTATGGTTGATTGGAATCTTTTCAGTATTGTATTAGGGATTGCTATCGGCAGTGTACGGAAGAGGTATAAGATGTGTGGTATAATCATCATTTTAACTGTATTGAGTGCATGCAAACTTGCTGAAAATATCTGCTCACCACCTGCTTTAAAACTGCACAGGAAGTTTCAGTAGTTCATATCATCTCTACAGTCAGAGAGGGAGGAGTTAATGAACTCTACTACTTTCTTAACTACATATTTATTTTAACATTAGTGTGCCTTTGCAATTGAGTAGAAAATGTTTACTTTCTATTGGTGGAAGATGCCTCTTCATTCTTTGTCCTTAACCCCTTAAGGACCGAGGACTGTTTAGGACAGTCATCGGCATTTTAGCGTTGCCGACCGCTGACGGTCCTGAACAGTCCTAACGGTGTAATGTACTTACCTGATCACCGTCGTTCGGCAATTGGTGTCCATGTGTCTGCCTGCAGGGGGACTGCCTGTGCTGACAGGCAGTCTCCCTGCTAGTGTAAAATAAAACAAAAAAACCTTAATGTTAATAAATAAAAAAATTATTGTGTATATATATGTATTAAGGCAGTTTTGCCTGTATTGGTGGGAGGGGCTTAAATTAATTCACTCCCCTATATAAGGGACACCCCTTACCTGACTCATATCGCTTGAGGTCAGCATCAGAATGATTTCCACTTCCGGGTCATCCAGACGCCATTTTACCTGATTACTCCATGAGGTTTTCTAAGCAGAGCTGTGTCAGGAATCCAGCCACAGGCTTTTCCGGCCTACCACCTTCTTTCTTCAATCCATCGCCGTGGATGGTGTCCAAGTGACTCACAAACAGTAAGTCGACCTACCCGTTACGCCAGGCATCAGTCCCACGGCACCATGCACGGGTCAGGTCCTCACTTTACGGCTGCATTTTGTCTATGTCTGTTCTAAAACCATTGCATGTTCATGCATATCATTCGTTTAAACCCCCTACCGGTCTTTGGGTGTACTACAGGCTTCTTAGACATTATTGCATTTCATGTACAAACCAACGAACCACTGCATTTTCGCCTACACACTGACCCCTACCGGTCTTTGGGTGTACTACAGGCTTCTTAGACATTATTGCATTTCATGTACAAACCAACGAACTACTGCATTTTCGCCTACACACTGACCCCTACCGGTCTTTGGGTGTACTACAGGCTTCTTAGACATTATTGCATTTCATGTACAAACCAACGAACTACTGCATTTTCACCTACACACTGACCCCTATCGGTCATTCGGTGTACTACAGGCATCTTAGACGTTTTTTGCATTTTCATGTACAAACCAATAAACCACCTCATTTTCACCTACACACTGACCCCTACTGGTTTTTGGTGTACTACAGGCTTCTTAGACATTATCGCATTTCATGTACAAATAAACGAATCACTGCATTTGCGCCTACACACTGACCCCTACTGGTCATTTAGTGTACTACAGGCTTCTTAGATATTATCGCATTTCATGTACAAATAAACGAATCACTGCATTTGTGCCTACACACTGACCCCTACTGGTCATTTAGTGTACTACAGGCTTCTTAGATATTATCGCATTTCATGTACAAATCAACGAACCACTGCATTTGCGCCTACACACTGACCCCTACCGGTCATTCGGTGTACTACGGGCTTCTCAGACATTATTGCATTTCATGTATAAACCAACAAACCACTGCAATTTTCACCTACACACTGACCCCTATCAGTCATTCGGTGTACTACAGGCTTCTTAGACGTTTTTGCTTTTCATGTACAAAACCATAAACCACTGCATTTTCACCTACACACTGACCCTTACCAGTCATTCAGTGTACTACAGGCTTCTCAGACATTATTGCATTTCATGTACAAACCAACTAACCACGGCATTTTCGCCTACATGCTGACCCCTACCGGTCAATCAGTATACTACAGGCTTCTCAGATTTATTCCACTTCATAAGCAAACAAACGAACTACAGCATTTTCGCTTTTATACTGACTCCTATCTGTCAAATGGTAGCATTAACCCCTTAAGGACACATGACATGTGTGACGTGTAATGATCCCCTTTTATTCCAGAAGTTTGGTCCTTAAGGGGTTAAAGGGTATTTTAACATACAATCAGCATTTCTGACCCCTACTGGTCAACAGCAAAACTGTCTTCACATGTCATATACAATTTACCAGCCAATATAAATTACACATAAGATTGTTTTAAACATAACTATAGACCATAAATTAAACTCCAGCACAGGCTCAACTTCAGGTTTAATTCACAATAATTTACATTTCACATCAAGACCAACAGTGGTTCTATCAACACTGCCACCTACAGGTCTGTCAAGTACATTGACAATTTTCATGGGGTTTTACAAACACCAAAACACTGACACCTATAGGTCAACAGACAAACAACATTTCACATACCAATCAGTATCCAACTACACTGCCACCTATAGGGCACTCGGCAGATCTCCAGTGCACTTGCATTTTGCAACACCATGTTCACTGACCCCTACCATTCAATAAGACATACAACAATTCACATAGCAAGCACTATGTCAACATCTGGTATAAATACATATATTATTACACAGTAGCAGACGCATCTGTATATATGTAACTGGTAATATAGTTCACATACATTTTTCACAGCACGCTGCTCCCGCAACAGACTTCCCCTAGCAAGGGGACATACAACATACAAGGTGGGGACAGACCACATTTTCACTTGTACATACGGCACTTAATGGGTTAAGATTGATACATTTAACCAGTATGGCTACGATGTTTAATATTTACACATCACGTCA